TTGGTGTTTTCTGTGGACACCGGAGTTGGGAGAAATAGCATAAATGTCATGTATTTATCATTCCCCAGATGGGGTATAAGCATGATTTCTAAATCCTTTTATGGTTTGAGGGGGTAGATGGAAATCAACTTTCTGTTTCTGGCTTGATAATACCATCAGTGTTAAGCCTCCTTAATTTACTTGATCATTCTCTTAAAAGACCATCATTTAGTACCAGGAGGGATATTTTTTTTAATCCTCTCCCAAGGAAAAAAATTTTCCATTTATCTTCAGATAGAGTGGGGGGGGAGGAGAGAGAGAAAGAGAGAGAGAGAGAGAGAGAGAGAGAGAGAGAGACATCGATTGGTTGTCTCCTGCATGACCCCAACCAGGGCCTGGGATGAACCAAAACTGAGGTATGTGCCCTGAGACTCTTTGGTCCTCAGGCTCATGCTCTAACCACTGAGAAAACCAACCAGGGCAGTACCAGGAGGGATTTAAAAGTCCAAATAAAATAAAGAAAATGATTTCTTTGTTTAAGTTAGGATGACTCAATGTGTTTATTTTCATCTTTAGAAAATTCTCCTTCCCTAACTCCCCTCCGGGCTTTCTCCCACCCTTTTTTTTTTCTCTCCCTCCCAATTTCACCTGCCCTGCCCTGCCCCTGGCCCTGCCCAGTCATTAATTTTTTTTTTTTTAAAGAAAATTCTCCTGCCTGTTCTTCCCCCAGGGTGTCCAGACAAACTGATTTTTCCCTCCAATTGTACTGTGACTAAGATGGTTATCTTTAGAGACTTCCCTTGACAGTCAGAATTGAGGATGGTAGACCTCCATCTTTTCATTAGACTCCATTAAAGGGAGCTACCTTTGAGAGTTTATCACCAACTATTTTCGGTGTTTAATTCTTTCAGTACTATATGCGCTTTAGCTCTATCAATTCTTTACAGACTGGAAAGCTGAACTGGTCAGTGTGCTGAGGAGCCTGTACTGGGTGGAAGGCTTGGGCGCAGTAGGTTTGCTCAGGGTGGTGAAAGGAGCTTGAACTCCATGTTTGGACCTTATTACACCCTGGTGAGGTGTTGATTAGCGTAGATCTGGCCCACCCAACTGGGTTAAGCCCTAGAGAGGAGAAAAAGTCGGAATGAGTGGTAGTGTTGATACTTCGAGAGTAGGAAAATAGAATTCAAGTGTAGCAGATGGTTTACAGATTTACTGTGGCCTCTTAGAGATTTATAACCTCAGCCTTTGATTTTACTTCATGAGCATTTTTTTTTTTGCAGGCAATATTTTCTCAAATTTCAGGGTTAACCAGAAAGGTATTTTATTTTCCCATGAACTGAAGAAACCACTATTTATTTATTTAAATGGTACTGAGAACTCCATGTGTGGTATTTATAAATGCTTTTCTTGTCCAGCTATTTATTGATAGCACTTGTATTTTCCCATTGCCTCTTCATATATGTTTTTAGGATTCCATTTCCATGGCAGGTGATGGCCACACAGACATGGCACATAATTGTGTAGTAGGGAAAGATTTGTATGCACATGTATGTGTATCACAGAATAATTAAAGGACCTGTTTGTTTACTCTCATTTAATTTACTAAGAGCATAAACTACCCAACTGTCAAACTCATTGTTACTTGTTCATTGTAATGGGCAGCTTGTAGATCAATTATTTTTAGTCTCTCCTTTGTACCAGGATTTGGGGAGATAACCTTGGAGTTGATAATGAGCGTACATGACAATCACAGTTTCTGTCCTGCTGAGGTCTTCATCTAAGAATGTACGTTTAAAAATGGCAGTCTTTCACATAGCTATTAATATTCATGGCATTTGAATAGAATAAATGGGTAAATTCTTTTTTTTTTTTTTATCCTCACCCGAGGACATTTTTCCATTTTTTGCACAGATAGAGTGGGAGGGAGAGAGAGGTAGAGAGAGAGAGAGAGAGAGAGAAACATCGACGTGAAAGAGGCACATCGAGTGGCTGCAACCCGCACGACCAACCAGGGCCGGGGACAAACTGCAACCGAGGTACGTGCCCTTAGCGGGAACCGAACCCGGGTCTCTCCGGACCGCAGGCCGATGCTCTAACCGCTGAGCCAAACCAGCCAGGGCAATGGGTAAATTCTTAATCACTGGAAATACCATGTCTGTGTGCCATGATATGTTTCCAGAGTAAGATCAGAGCATTTTTATTATGGAGTTTGCATCGAATCTTATGCAATCTTGGCTTATTTTATATTACAATATTTTTTATCTGAAAAATATAAAAGTAAAATTTAGTTATCATGATCATAAGTCATTACTGTGTTTTTTTTTTTGTTTTGTTTTTTTTAAGAAACTAATATTGCTCTTTATAAACTTTGGATTGAACTACCTATTTAAACATTATGCCCGGCTGGTGTGGCTCAGTGATTGGGCGTCATCCCTGCACCAAGAGGTCACCAGCTCGATTCCCAGTCAGGGCACATGCCCAGGTTGTGGGTCCAATCCCCAGTGGGGAGCATGCAGGAGGTGGCCAATGGGTGTTCTCTCTCATTGATGTTTCTATCTCTCTCCCTCTCCCTTCCTTTCTCTCTAAAATCAAGATAGAAAAAAAATTATAAATGACATTAGATTTCTCCTCCAACTTTTGGTCTCATTTATGTTCTGGGAATGCCAGGTAAGAGAGAGTGCTTAATGCCAAATAACTGGAGCATTTCATCCACTAAGTAAGCAATGGTGACAAGATATTTGCCTCTGAACAATAGTACATGACAGCACAAAGAGTGTCTAAAAAATAGAAGGGTTCACCCCTAATTTCTAGCTATTTATCAGTGTTATAGTCTTTGAAAAACCAGAGGGGTCTAACCATTTCATGCATTGACTCTGGTATCGGAGTACATATACAAGAGTTTTGTAAGGAAATCAAGAGCTGTTGATTTTTAGAGAACTGCATTTCAATACTGTCCTCTCCTTTGACATCTGTTACTTCAGAGGCAAATTAAATCTTGTTGAACCCCTGAGTGGGGGGAGGTGGCAGTGCGCTTCCCAAGGCAGCACAAAACTCCCACCGAGTGGTGTCGGTGTGTCTAGCACTCTTGTTCTTCAACACTCACCTCCCAGAGACTCCAGAAATAGAAACATCAAGGACCAAGTCTGCTGGCAGATGTGCTCTTTTAATCTTAAGCAAATTAGAGAAAATGTTTGGAAGTAAGAGGTTGCTGACCATTGAGAACGTCCAGACCTGAGCCAGAGCTGTCCGAGAAGGATGGCAGGAGGGTTTCTCTCCCCAGCAGCATCCTTCTGAGGATACGCTGAGGAGAGACGGCAGCCAGGCGTGGAAACTCCAGAAGACAAGGAAACGACAAATAAGGAAAAGAAATAGAAAGCGGGTGAATAAAGATCACCCTGTTGGACAAAATTGCAGAATATAAGAAAGGTGGTCCAGTGTCACTGGATAAGAAGAAAATGTAGGATGTAGGATAACATTAAGACAATTGTGGCATTTTTCAAAAGTAACAATATAAATAAGTCAAGCTATTAATTCATAATTTCTTTCCTAGTATGAGAGAGTGAAATAAGAGTTGGTTGCATTTTCTTAATTTGTTAGGAGTAGAGAGAGCTGACTCCAATGGTTCCATACAGTTGGCTTAAAGCAAGACAGATCAGCAACGGCCAGCGTTTCTGTCAAAAGATTCATCCTTCTTCTCTGACCCTCTAAAAGTGTAGCTAGGCTAAAGAAGACTTTACATCACAACATAATGGATTCACTCTCAGAATGTTTGCACCTTTTCACTCATAACATTCTTACTGTTTTTTGAAGATTTTGCCAAGCAGTAGACTCACCTTCACAAGTTGGGGTGTAGTTCCTGCCTCTTCAGTATGTGGTACAACATAAACTGTCCTACTGCCTAGCAGAGTGTGTCACAGGGTCTGGTAGCGTCTTTCTTACAGCTTCAACTAGTGGTGGTTCAAATCATTACACTGTCACTGAATGACAGGTGACCCCGATGAGTGAATTTCTCTGTGAGCTTGCCCCACCTTTCTAGTTTATTTCCACAGAGCCATTTTGAATGGGCAAGGAAAGTGACATCCACCACAACAAGTCAAGCTTTGCACACCTGCCCTTCTCAGAGTGACAGCTCTTGGTGCAGATGAGAGAACATTTTTATTTTGGTGCTGGTTTTGTTTGCAGATTCACCTCTGATGTGAACTTTAAAATTATCCTTGTTTTAAACCTAACCCTTTTTTTAAAGGTCACTATGCTTTCTTTGTTTCATGTACAATATAAAGGTTATCTTTAAATCCACCTAGATAATAGAAGGGTTCATAGCTTAATGAAGGAACAGAGAGGACCTCCTCCAGGTAAAGTGGCAGGAGGAAACATGAAAAGGAAGAGGACTGGTCTGAGCTCTGCCATTCCTGGCCGTCTGGATGCAGTGAAAAATATGCTGGACTTGACCGTCCCAGTGTGTGACCACTGGCAAATGTCTTCACCTCTGTAAATCTCAACTGCAGCACTTAGGAAATGGAGATAATACTCCTTTATCTATAGAGGGGGGGTCAAGTCTACCTCACCTGTTTCTCAGGGATGTTAAGAGGGTGAAATAAGTGTATATACAATACAGTGATGTGAAAACTGTAAAGTGCTGTCCGAGTGTTAAGTTAGCATGACGTTAACTTTTACTAAGCAGGAAGACTAAGCAGCAGACCTTGTGAGAAGAGTCTCTATGGGAATGCTATTTCCTTCTTTGGAAATCTCTCCCATCTGACTTCGTTTATGTTTATGTTCTCGGAAGGTCTCTGGCTTAGAGCTGGCACCAGTTGGCTGTAAATATATAGCACTGTGCTCACTTCGCCCCGGAGACCAGGGAGAGCGCGTGCTGTATAAAGACCTTTGTTCAGGGCAAGAGGGACTGGAGGCAAGTCTTAGTGACTGCTTACATGTCAGTGACAAGACCAGCATTAAAATATATCATGAAATCTTGTCAATCAAAATTAACATCTCTTTTGTTTTTGCCTTTTCCTTTAAAGCAACTTACGATGTTTTCTCAAGCACTACAACATCAGATGAGCCTGAAATATCAGAGCCTCACACAGGTATACCCAACCTCTCAATTCTTTCCTTGGATTTTAAATGTTCTGACTAGTTCTTGCTTTAATTCTTGCTGAATAATTGCACTTTCCAGAGTTCTGCAGCAAAAGAAATAGCAAAATGTTTCAGGGAGGTGAGTTCTGCCCTCGCCTCCCATTGAGCGATTATTTGTTTACATCCATCGGTAAACCTCTGCACAAGTGGGAGATGCAGATGGGTTTGGTTGCTGCTGAGGCCAAGTAAGGTGATGGTCTATCACTCTACCATTCAGAATCATTCTAAAAATGTTTTAGAATCCTAGGGAGTTTTCTCTAGAGCAGTGGTTCTCCAGTGGGGGTGATTTTTCCCCCCTCTACCCTGAAGGGCATTTGGAAATGTCTAGAGACATTTTTGGTTGTCACAGCTACTGACGCATCCCATGAGTAGAGATCAGGGATGCTGCTAAATCCCTACAGTACAAAGGACAGCCCCCTACAACAAAGAATAATCCAGCCCTAAATGTCAATAGTGTTGAGGTGAGAAATCCTGCTATAGAACTTCATTTGTCTACAGAAGTTCAGTTGTGTTTCATTTTTTGCCTTTACTTCCTGATGCAGCTACAGTGAATTTAACTCAGTCCAATGGTTCCTTTTAGCACATGCTTATTAAGCACCTACTAAACTTGGCCCTGCAGAAGATTCAAAGTGAATAAGACTGGCCTCTGCCAGACAAGCATATATGTCTGATATTTTCTGTATGTGTAGCCTTATCTCAGCATTATTTGAGTCATGGTAAATAAAGGTGAATAATTTTAAACAGCAGAAACTTTAAAGAAAAAGAAGAAAGAAAGAAAGAAAGAAAGAAAGAAAGAAGAAGGAAGGAAGGAAGGAAGGAAGGAAGGAAGGAAGGAAGGAAGGAAGGAAGGAAGGAAGGAAGGAAGGATATAGAATGCTAAACATGGGTTCAACTAGTAGTTAAGAAACAGAGGAGAAACCAGAAAAACCAGTTGAAAATAAGTTGAATATATGAGACACTGTTTTGTCATGATTTCTGATGGTTAAAGTATATATGTTTTTAAAGTGAGCTCATCTTCAAATTCTAATGAATCGCTCATTTAAAAATGTTGGTCAGAAATCTCCCAAGTGTTCTTGATATTTTTTCCCTATATGAGGCATAATTTATTACTCATAAAATTGTGTTTTATTCCTGGGGCCTTCTACTGCTTTTATAAATGTTGACATTTATTCCAACAGCAACAAGGGATCCATTTCTGGATTCTGTCCCACCTAAAACTTCTAGAACTCTTGAACAGCCAAGGGCAACACTGGGTAATGTTTCTAACAGAAAAATCATTCTTTGTTTTCCATCAAAAGAAAAATCCATGTGAATGCCTTTCTTCCAAGTGACCACTTCTTTCCATCACATCTAATCATTTATTTCTTTCCTATTTCTGAATATATATATATATATTTTTTCCTATAATGCAGGCATCTTATGTTCCATTTTGTTCTCTCTCTCTTTTTTTTCTTTGTACTGTAATGATATTTTTTCCATCCCGAAAGGAATGAAAACTGCATGGACGCTTTCATCACCATATCATTCCATCTCATGTGCTTGTGGCCTGTGTCACTGAGTGCCTGGAGTCAGCTACTGAACAATTATCATTCTGACCTTTTCCCCACTTTATATTATTATTTCATCCATCAGCTTTCAAGACTACATGCATTTTCATCCTTAATCATGTACTTGTAGCATGTGCTTTGTAACACCAGCTAAAAGCATGTGAAAACTCTTAAAATACCTCATTTTAACTGGAATTACTTGGTGGGATGGGGTGTTTGTGTTTTCAGCTCCAAGTGAAACAACATTTGTTCCTCAAAAAATGGAAATTATTACCAGCCCTGAAATGCAACTGACAACACCTGGTAACTAGTGACATTTGTATTGTTTGCTTTGAAAGAATAGATAAAGTAACCAAAAAAATCAATCATGTTGTACTTTTCAGAATATTTTCCACAGTAAACATTTCCCTGCATTCTTACCATGAAGTTGTGTAGATATTGTGAAGAATTACATTTTCGCTATACTTTCGAATTTGCTAACCAGAAAATAGAATTATAGATGATAATTATTTTAAAATATAGTTCCTCCTGATTATCACACTCAGATACCACCAAGTCAGAGACTTTTTCTCAAAGTAGTCTAAGTATAAAGAGCCCAAAGTGAGCTTTCCAGTCCTGGACATGATGAACAAAAATGGGCAAATGAAAGGTAACACAACCTACATTTTATAATAGCAAATTATTGGAATAATGACATTCATTAACTCCTGCTTAGATTAGTAAAGTGCTATAGAATTAAAGTTCTGAACTTTCTATTCTATAAATCCCAAATCTTTTATCTGTGCTTCTCCCTGTTTGATATATCATCTTTTGAGTTCTTAATTGTACCGTGTGTTCTTAAATTCTTTAAAGGTGCTCACTTTGCAGGACAGTGAACAATGTGCCTTCAGTTCTCATTCAGAAATGTAATTCCTTTGGCCCAGTCAGCACCTGCTGTGAACAAAGCACAGGGCTGGGCATTCTAGGGATGCAAAGCAACAGAAAGCACTTCTTGCACTCCAGGAGTTTACAAGTGTACACTTACAGCCTGATGGACATCATTTATGAAAGCTATCTTACATCTTTCAGCTTCCCTGCCAACTACATCTGTCCCTCCTACACCCAAACGACGCCTCAGGCCCAAACCACCAAGAACCAAACCCGGTAAATAAATGTCTCTTTAGCCTTTCAGGATATTGAATTCCAAACAGATAATATTCATCTCCTTGCCATAACAATAAGTGACATGATTCTATAGGTTCAAGTTTCCTGACAAATTTTGAAGTTAACTGAAGATGAGTAAATTAATGATGCAAAATTATAAGAATCAATTATTTCTAGTAGGCTTTCATTCAAGATGATGTAAGTGATGTTCTTTAAAGCGAATTTTGGTGTAAACCTGAGAACAAGTTCCGCTATCACAACATGACAGAGTGAGATATGTAGTGTAATTCTTCTTCTTGGTGTGCCATCTCTGTTGAAGCATTTATTAGTCTGACAGTGCTTGTTTTTTTTATTCTCCCCGGGGCAGTGGCTGAGATGGAAGGGCATGATTCCAGCTTTCCAATCGTTTATAATCTTAAAAAGATAATACATCATAAACAACAACAGAGCAACATGAGATTATATAATCCACTTGTGAGGCACGTAATATTCATGCAGAAGGTCAGAAAAAGAAAGTAAGGGTTGAAGATACAGGCCTCAAAATATGTGTAGGATGTGGGCAGAGGAAAAAGGAGTGGGAAACAGCACTGTAGGGCACAGAATTTGGGTGGTCGAGGTAGCTGATGAGCCTGGCGGTGATCTTCCTCATTGCCAAATAACACTCAGAATATACTCAACAACTGGTTTTTGCTTAGTCTGTTGTCATAGAAATACAGTGGGGTTTTTTTAAGTCTATACTATTATGACTGAGTTTGAAAATTATTTTCCAAAACTTTACTCACTGCCTACTTTATAAACACTGACTACTAAATATGGCAAGATTTTAACAAGGTCATTCAGTTCTTCTTTGGAGGATATCTTTTTATTGTCTCTAGGATATCTTAATATCTCTTTTCTTTCCCATCACCAGAAAGAACCAAAAGTCCTGGAACAACTGCATCTAAACTTTCTAAAAGCTCTGAACCTACATGGACAACCCTGGGTAATGATATGTCCCTTAGAGGATGTGTTTCCTCATTTCACCATGGGAAACCCAGGACCCCGGCTTTCACGTAACGTCTCAGTCAGTACTCTAATGGGCTCATTGCAACAACACTGAATATCTCGTGTAGTACATTGACTCTGTGGCTTTCATGGTCTGGATAGCTGGCCCTGGAGTAAGGGATCTGAACACAGAATTGCACATCATCCTATGCCTTGGACAGTGGTTAAACCACTGCTTCTGTCTCATCTTCTATCCGATTTTTGTATTTGAAGTTGGGTCTTACACATAGTTCTCCGCCCCCCCCCCCCCCTTTTTTTTGTTTTTTTTGCATAAGGCCTTCCAGGTCAACTTCAGATTACATTTGGAAAAATGACCAGGCTGGTATTAGTAGAATTTTTTCTGCTGCAGATCACAGCATTATACCTATCAGTAAATATTAATTTTAAAACATGTCTTTTTCCCCCTGGTGCTTAAAGACTTAGATGTAACTGAGAAATATAAATAAGGGTGCAAAATGATTACACCATTTTTTTTAAAAGCATGGCTTAAAATCACTGTCTTTGTGTAGCTGACTATTTAGTGGCAATGCTATTTCTGTTAGGTCAAATATACTCTAGAAATGAACCAGATGAAAATTTATCATTGTATTTTCATTAAATGCTGTTCTGTGAAATACTCTTTTGATGGACTATTTCCAAAATCTCCAAGATGATGGGTTCATTCCACTTACAGTATAGGTTTTCCATTTGTAGTTTTAAACCCTACAATGCCTAAATATTGATTTGTTGATTATTTTGTTTCTTTATTTTTCCAGCTCCCAGTAAAACACAATTTATTTCTTTGAAACCTAAAATCCCTCTCAGCCCAGAAGTGACATACATCAAACCTGGTAATTACCCTGAATTTCTTCTTTTTTTTTTTTCAATATTCCAAGAATAGGGTTGAAAGTTGTTTTATGCCACTCTTTGGAGCCAGAATTTCTTATTCATATTTTGGTATTTGACATATTTTGCCATGAAAAATGCAATGAAATGGCCTCATTGTAACCAGCCCCTCTGATAGTGTCTCAGCATTGCTCTGAGCTGTGTGGAGGAGCATCATGTTCATGACCCTCACAGAGGAAACAGAAATAGAATGATGTGATGACTGAGGACTCCCTTGTTGAGGACTATGAAATAGTTTCCAGTACCAAAGTGGACTGGAACTCTTATGACACTGAACAATCGCCTTTCAGCTGGCAAGGGAAGGAGTGTGTCCATCCCATGAGAACTCGGCCCTGTTTGGAGTGTCTCAGTTTTCAGGCTATAGGACTAAAAGGGTTGTATCTCCCTGATGCTCCATGACTTCTTTCTTATACTGGGGCTGATTTCTGAACACTGACTTCTGTTTACTTCTCAGAAGATATTAATGGTGTCGTGGTGAAGAAAAGAAGGCTCTTTTTGCAGGGAGGGGTTATTCTGTGCATATAACTTAAAACAGAGATAATTCCTTACATAAAGATTGTGGGACATGTTGAAAGAACAAATCTTTGTTTTTTTCTATCCAGAATCTATGCAACAGGTTGACTTACACGATTGCACATATATAGATCTCTGTCATTGCTCATCATTTTCATCTAAATTTTAAACCCTTAGCTCTGGGAAGAATATATTTCTCACTATAATCAATGCATTTTTCATTAACCTGAATTTACAAAGTACAGTTATTAAAGCAAGAGATTTTTCTGCTTCAGCAGGCATGATTTATTTTTTACAATGAAATGCATAAAAAAGAAAAAGTATTGGGGGGATGGGGAGGAGGGTGTCAATGGGGGGGAGAAGAAATATCTGTAACAAAAATAAAATAAATAAATAAATAAATAAATAAATAAATAAATAAATAAATAAATAGAAAAAGTAACTGCTCAGAAAAAGAATTCTAATGACTCCTTTTAAAGAGGCAGTGAGATTTCCAGGTGTAGGTATCAGACTGAACGAAGTTAGGGATTATGCAAAGGGAATGTGACCGTGGGTGAGGTCTCCAAGTCAGAGAAGTAGAATGATATCTTCTTACTCAGAGAGGCTATTTGGAGAAGGAAGCATAGCTAATAGTATGCAACAGCCCTAGAAGTTTAAATCAAAGGACACGGACAGTGAGCTCCATGAGAGAAGGGTTTAATCTATATTTATTTTTAAATCATGCTTGGAGGACTTGGGATTAAGATACTAACTATTATATTTATGTTCCATTTTGAATAGAGGGCTATTACCTCACAGACTGAGAAATATTGCTGTATGTTTGGGTAACCAAATTTAAATAAATATTTCTCCAGTCTAATTATTTCTGTTATTACAACTTAAAATGTGAAAACATCAAAAAGTTCTCCAAATGTTAATTACAATTTACACAAGATGATTTACATTATTAATTTCAGTAGTTTCTAATAAGTTTTCTGGCAAGCAGTTCATTAATACAAATAAGAGTTGGGGAGTGTGTTCTTATTATTCTAAGGTATTTGAGCAGAGACTTCTTAATTTGACATTTCCTTTAAAAGTGCAGAAAATTATTTGGAAGCTTAATGAGTTTATATTCCTTTCATTCCTACCTTCTAATCACTTAAGAATATCCACACTTTTCCCCTAACAGTAAGTACAGCCACTTCAGAGTCTGCACCTACATTTATGCCAACTCAAGTTGACATTGAGGTAACACAGAGTGATGACTGAATGTCTGCAAACTATTGCTTGGGTTTTAGCTTTTTAAATTTTATTTATTTTTACTTTAGGGCAGGCCACCATTATAGCTGTGCTGAAGATTTCTGTTTCTAGCCAAGGTTCAGGAGAGCAAATAAACCACCAAAAGCTGTTTGATTTGAGTGATTCATTGCCTTTCCTAGCTCTCTCCTCACACTCTTCTTTTTTTCCATTTCACTTTCCATGCAGGCTGCTTTCCTCTGGTTTTCCTTTGTGGTTAACTAACAAGTAAAAACCACCATTGGTTTTGGCTTGTTTCATGAGTAGAATCCAGTGCTTTCTTGAAAGTCCCAGCCATCTACTCTGTCTCTACTTGTCTGCCTCTTCCAATAAGAATTGTTTCTTTCACAGTTAATCTTTAAGATTGTAATAACATTCAGCTCTTCTACTATGAACACACTTAAAAAAGGGAGAGTCTTCCAATTAATTACAGGTGTGGTGGATGGAATTGTTCTCATTGCTAGCCACAAATCCATAACCAAGTTGTCTTTTGTTTTGTGCTGAGATGAGTGGTGTAATTATTTGTATGTCACTCAGACTTTCTATGGAACATTTTTATGTTTTTATTTATAACACCTTAACACTGTCAATAGAGGAAGTCGTCAGAACATGTATTTGCTTTTAATAAACACTGACTTTTTGATATGCAGGTGAATCGGAAGCTTAATTGATAGGGGTCTATACCTATCTGGTCTCAGTCTGTGAGGAATTTTTTAAAAATGCAGATTTGTCTTTATAAGATTAAAAAGACAGTATTCTTTAATCTTTGTAAAGGCCAAAAAAAAAAATGCTATGAGCAGCAAATTTTATTTACCTTTTCACTCTTTTAGAAGGAACTTTATAGAAATTAAACATGATTTACAACTTTGAAGTTTCAAAAGAATTTTTGCTCATTGCTATTTTCAGATGTGAATGCTTTTTGATATTATATTTAATGTATTGATGCTTACTATTTTCTTCCTTTTCTCCTATAGAATCTGAAACAGTGAGACATCCCTGTCTGTCTGTCTCTCTCTCTCTGCCAATTTGAATGACATTGGAGCTTTTGTTATCTGTTAGAGTATTTAAATGATATTGTTATTCAATGTATTCAGCATTTCATAAAATCTGAGGCTACTTTTTTACTTTTTTGATATACTAACCAAAATGAACAAAATTCCATATGTAAACCAATTTATTCACCAGCAATAAATGCCAGGAAATATGAAGAACAGCATATGAACATTTTTGGCCCTTTATAGACCATACATTCAATTTTTATTTTTCATAAAATTATATCAGATCCAGCCAGGCTAAAAATCTTCCCAAACTAGCAGAACTGAGGCACAGGTACAGGGCTAATGGGTCTGTTGCCTGTTTCCTCTTCCTTGGATGAGCCTGACTGTCCTGCATGGAAACAAATGGCAGGTGGACAGAAACTCCAAGCGAACTTTCAGGGTTACCCCAACTTCCCTTTAACAGAGTATCTCCTCAAGCACTAGGAGCAATTTTCAGAATATTGGGTAGTAGAGAAAATAGCTAAAAATCTACAAAAAAAATCTCAATTCTTACTTTTATTGTGGTTTTTGGAGAAGATGTGGGGTGTTGAGCTTTTCTGTTGTTAAGCCGGCAGAACCTGATTGCTCATCAATGATAAAACACTTTTTATTCTAAAAGAAATTTAGTTTTTTAGATGGTGCTCTTCAGCATTGCCTTTGATAATACTTGCTTTTATTGCAGCCCCGGAACCTCACACTCCAACACCATCACAGTCAACAATAGGTAATGAAGTTTACTGTAGTTAGTGAAAAAGAATTCTCTCTCTTTTTAGTACCCTCTATCTTCAACTTTGTCCTTTACTTTGGCTTTTTAAAAATTTATGCCGCCCTGGCCAATGGGGCTCAGTTGGTTGGGCTTCCTCCAATGCACCAAAAATTTGCCGGTTGGATTCCTGGTCAGTTCACATGCCCTGATCCTTGTACGGGGCATGCAGCCAATCCATGTTTCACTCACACTAATGTTTCTCTCTCTCCCTCTCCCTTCCTCTGTCTCTAAAAATCAATTTTAAAAAGATCTTTAGCCCTAGCCGGTTTGGCTCAGCGCTTGGAGTGTTGGCCCAAGGACCAAAAGGTTGCAGGTTGGATTCTGGGTCAAGGGTACGTACCTGGGCTGCAGATTCAACCCTGACTGAGGTCTTGCGGTGCAGGAAGCAACCAATGGACGTGTCTCTCATCTCTCTCTCTCTCTTCCTCCCTCGCTTCCTCCTTTCCACCCTCTCTAAGAAAGTCAATAAAAAAGTATCCTCAGGTGAGGATTAACAACAAGAAAATCTTTAAAACGAGATTTAAAAATAATAATACTACATTTATTTTTTCATTATCTTTCAGGTCTTTTTTTTCAGCCATTTTTGCCAGAGGATAATCTCTCTGCCTGTGCTCAATGAGGACAGCATGAAAGCCATACTACTTTTGATTAGACCTCTTCTTTATTGTCCCTCCTCATGTTGGAGGAATGTGTCCTGAGCTGGTTTTAACCTGGTGAAGAACCATGGCTTCCCCAGAACATATCTGTGCTTTCACATTTGGAGGTGTTTTTCTTACTTTCAAAACTCCAACATTTGCAGATTTTTTTGAAAAACATTATGGTCTTTTCAGATCTAAAAATCCTGATACATCACTAGGACATTCATTAAAAGAGAGCAATGTAGAAACTAACCCCAATCTTTATAGCATCTTTTTCTTCAAGAGAGCAAATAATGTTTTCTGCTGGTACCATCTTAGCCAATGACCCATGTTTTCCTTCCTAACATGAGCTGTTGGTTATTTTATTGCATTCACATATTCCAAATAAGAATCATACCTTTTTCTTTCCATTTCTCTTTCCAAACTTAACGGACTGGCTATATTTCTGTTCATTTTGTCTAAAAACACAGGAATCAATTTAAATGAAAAAGGAATTTCTTATGTGGATAAAATTTTCATCATTTCTATTTGCTCAACTTAGCCATGAAAAATTAAGCATTTCTCATATTTAAATAGATTTCATCATTTTTCCTTTGATTTTGATTTCTTCTTGATGATCTTTCATGCAGTCATAGAGCCTGGAACACTGGAAACCAAACTTTCAACAACAACATTAGGTAATGCAGTGATTGAGTGAGTGACCTTTGTTTCCTCTTCTCCTGACTTTATTAACAGGCTCATATCCATGGATGAAGCCATTAATATTCGTGTGTGTGTGTGTGTGTGTGTGTGTGTGTGTGTGTCCATGTGTTCCCTATTCTTGTTTCCAGAGAAAAAAATTAAATCTATAGTTTTTAAAATTTACCTTCCCTGAAAGAATTTCTGATTTCAAAGCCTTTTAACACATCTCGTGGATTTGCAGATTTTTAAATGCTAAGTGCAAAACTTTTCTTTTTGAATCTTAAGTCAAATAAATTCTAACTTTTATCCCTTGTGGCTTTAAAAGTAACTTTTCTCATGTTCCTGTTGAACAAGCACTTCCACAATTTGTATGGGACTGTCTTCTCTAAGCTTTATAGAGTTCTGGGTTTTCCATCTCAAAATTGAAGAGTAGGGGATCTTTCAAACCATGGTTGTTTATAAACTTTTGACCAAAAAGAATTTATTATTAAAGACTTCTCTTAACTGGGTAAATAATGATAGAAAATTGCAAAACAAAAGGGTACATATCCTCAATAAATCAAAGAGCTTGAATGTGCTTCTAAGCTATATGAACATTGTTCATCCTGTATTAACTAGCTAATTCTCTTTCTTCAGCTCCGCCAAAGACCAAACGACCAGGTCGTCGCCCCCGCCCTAAAACCACACGTAGTCCAGATGTGCCCAAGTCCAAACCTGGTAAATGTGATGTTCAGGGTTTCAATTAACACAGAAGGTGGACTATGATAGCTTCTGATATAGTACCTACCTACTGCCTAAATTGCTGGGCATTAGGAACCACTATTGTTTATTTTTATATTTAAACATCTGTACTTACTTTTCATATTTATGTTATATGAATATATATTTTCATTTACAGGTACACACAGCAATAAGCTGACTTGCTAAGTGTATTAGTAGGGCACCCTAAAATCTTACGTAGGATGCATATGTGTGACCAATGAGCTGTGGAAAAGAAATAGGAAGAAGAGGAGGGAATGGGAAAAATTAAAGGGGAAATCATATTTTTAAGAAAGCACACAGTTTAAGTAAAGATTGAGGAGTAATGTTTCCTTCCTCAAGATGCCTCTTCTTGGTATAATGAGTGTTTGGTTTTTTGCTTCTATAGCTCTGCAACCTGCTACGGTGCAGCCGGAGCCCTTGGTGCCCACAATCGGTAATTCCCTCCTGCAGCTGCTTTCACGCTGTCACTTCAGCTTTTCCTACTCTCCACCCAGACATGACTGCATTTCTACCACACCATCCGTTTCATTCCGCACGTCCCCTCACTTTCCTGTCTGGGGTTGAAGAACCTGGAGATAGGAGACTTCTGGAAGAATCATTGTGCTTACTTAAGGAAGGGTCTGTGGTCATGGACACACCTTCCTGGTTTTCCACTAACCCTCTTTCTTTCCATCACATGTGTCCTCGTGTTGAGAAAACCATCTACTCTTTTGCAGACGGGGCTTCTGTGCTCATCCTGGACTTGACCAATGGCAGTAACGTATCCCAGTGCCTTGATGGTCATTTTAATGAATTACTCATTCTACTTGTATGGCTTTCTCTCTTTTAAAAAGCTGCATGAAATAATGGGTTCTTCAGATTTCTGTTTCTTTGAAAAATGTGTTTGCGTATGTTTTAGAAGCACAAATACTGTTCTTGGTCTAGGGTCCAATATAAAAATAATATGGTCTTCTTTGTAACTTGAGCACATTAAAAGATCCAAGCTGATGCCCTGGATGGTTTGGCTCAGTGGTTAGAGTGTCAGCTCATCAACTGAAGGGTCTTAGATTTGATTCCCAGTCAAGGGCATGTTCTGGGGGGAAAAGTCCCAATCTGTTTTTATTGTTTTTAGTATTAATGCTGTTTGATGATAATTATTTCATTGTAAGTTCTTAGCATTCACAATAAATCTGTCACTGCTTGACTTTAGAAAATTCCAGAAATCAGTAGTCATGTAACATTATGTATAATTCCTGGTCTCCTACTAAGCAAGTTTCAAATTTCTACCTTATCTTTATACTGAAAAATAAATCAATTAAGAAATAGAAAAATAAATCAATTTCCCATGTTTGAAATTACATAGGAAACAGTCTTACAGTTCTCATTACTTGTACTCAAAGACACGTTTTCAGCATTTCCTGAAAAGTTTTTCCCTTTTGGAAAAACAGGTAGAAATGGACACATTGCCCACCCTTCCCACAACCCAGGAGTTAATTTTGCTGTATATTCACTGAATTTATGTAGTATCTTTGCTCAAGCATATGTGTCCTTAATTCTGACAGTTACAGCCGTGACCATTATACTAATTTTTAATACCTTTTTCTTTAGCATCAAAAACGTCCAAACGACCTAAAACCCCACATAGACCAGATGCACCTCAAATCCAGCCCGGTAAACACTACTTTCAGTGCCTTGATCTATAACTAGGAAAACACTGTGTAAGTAACATTAATCTTGACCTTCACAGCTCTGCTATGACACTAATTGTGGCACCTTGTTTCCTTCAGATTTAAAACCGCCAAAGCAGTTACTCCCTAAACCCCAAATCACAGCAAAACCAGATATGCTGTCAACTAAACCTGGTAAACATAATTTCCAATGCTTTAGTTCAAGAAGCTCTTTCTTTGGGAATGTTGCTGAAAATGTTTACAATTTGTTCTATCACATAAAACACAGAAACCCAAGTGCATGCTTTTGTTCATTATCTTCTCAAAGTAGTAATACTGATGTTTTAAGCATTAAATGAACAAATCAGTGTGGGAAATTAGTAAATTTTACAACTGATGCTGACAGATTCTATTTTCCTAAGGAACTTTTTAGGCTTTGTTTTCTGAATTGGGGTTTGTAATGAAGAGAAGCCAGGTTCTTCTGTATCCGGAATATCTCTGAAAGTGATTTGAGCAGCCACCACCAGGTGGCAGTTGGGAGGCTGATGCTGTGTTCTTCCTTTATGAGCACATAATCAGAGCTTGACTTCCTCTAAAATACCCAACTGACATTTTAAACAGTAACTACCTACTAAGAGATTTCCTACCATATACGAATATATTGGTATAACAATTCTAAAAATTCAACTATTTTGCAATAGAAATTTTCTCCTAAGATTCCAATCAGTATAAAATTCTAACTTACTAAGAGAGCATCTCTCATAATAAATAAGCCTATCAAGAAGGCAATTTATATCAATAAGAATAAATCAGGTTCTGTATCCTGTGAATTAAGCATCAGTGAGCACTTAAAAGTTTAGACTTACTCTTTTTGTTACTTATATCTCTTTATTTTTTACGATGCAGTCTTTAAGCCTGTTACATTTGAGGCTGAAGCTCCCTCCATAACCTTAGGTAATGATGGATGTCTTCCTTCTTGGTCAGTGTTTTGCTGAGCTTGCCCCTCTCGTGTCTGTCATTATCTGCAGTCTCTTGTGTAAACAATTATTCACCATATTTTTCATTAATTTCCAACATTGTTAGGGACCTTTTTAACCTTGCTAGGCTCTCCTACATCTGCTTATAACCCCTGAAAGTTACTCTTGCTCTGGTCACCTTTGGAGATAGTCGGATTGCTTCCAACATGATGCTGTGAAGAGTCACAGGTGCACTCTCCATCCATCCTTCAAACCAGGACATTTTTGAGATCTCTGTTTTTATGTATATAATGTATGGATGTGGGAGAGGAGCAATGAAAAAACTGTTTGTTTGGGGCTTGATGTAATATGTAATTGTCTCTTTCCTGAAAAAATCTCTTGCTTTCATAATTCTATACCATTCAAATGCAACTTGAATGAAAGTCAATTTTCTGTTGACAAATTCATTTTCTGACGCTGAATTCCAAACAAACTAGAGATGTCCCTTTTTTGTCTGCAGGCGGTCAGCTTTGAGTATTGTTTTCATCCTCTGGTTTTGCTTTTTCCCTCTCTTCTCTGTCTGCCATTATTTTCCATTAGTTCAGAAGATGTTCTCAGATGTGGCTGAACCCAACTTTGTGTTATGTGTCTTGGACAGTAAGCAAGAGGCAATCTTTGTATAATTGCTTACAGGGATTTGGTAATAAAAATGTTTTAATGTTACATTTAATCTTCTGAAAATAATGAAAAATAGAGACACTCACTTAAAACTAAGGAGTTAATCTTAATTTCTTATCTATGCATAATTTAATCATTGTAGAATACTCTAGAATTATAGGAGTCGTCTTTATCCAGAGAAAAAATTGAATTATTGCTTTTCAACTTTTTTCTTAAGCATCTCTGTTTTGCATTTGAATAATTATCCATTTGAAATGAATGTGTAAGAGATAGTAAGAAGGAGTAACACATTCTGGAGAAAGGCAAAAGTTTATTTTTTGCACAACTGTCACAGATCTCTGATAAACAGACTGATTAAGATATTTAAAAATTATCCTCACCATCAACATTCCTCAAAACAAATATTAAGAATGGTGGTAAAAGGCTTCCAGATACAAACAAAGGCTGTCATAACAATTTTTCAGAGTAATTTAAAATACATATCAGACAAGTAATTGTCTGATTTTTTGGAGCCAAGTTTCCAATATAGTTGGAATCAGATAATTAAATATAGAAATAAAAAGAAAAGCTTTTCATGGCTCTCCTAAGGATGCAAAGTACAAAGACTATTACTAATTTGTGAGATAAATGGATACCAGAGTACAGCCAGTTATTAGAGAACAAATACTATTTTTCCAGAGTTCAGAACTACTTTTTAAACATTGCAAAGTTAAGAAGATGTATCTTCAAGGTAATTTTTTTTCTTTTCCTGTGTTTCTTAACTCTCCATTACCTATTGTATTGCTTTTGCTCAGTTCCTGCCACAGACATTGAACCTGTAACTCTGAGAACTGAGGCTCCCTGGACAACATTAGGTAATAACCTTTTATGTCTTTAAGCAAGTGCATTTTCTGATCATTGCCCAGTCTGTTCCATTACTATCTTGGTTAAGGGTTTTTCTCTTTCCTAAGGTTTTCTCATCATTGTTGTCATTCAATTGGATTCTTCTCTTTGACTGTATTGAAGAGATTTAAAACACGTTACTTAGAATAGAAGCCTGTTTGCAGCTAGTGCAGACATCTCCCATACCATCCAGCTTCATTAATACTTTAAAAGCCTGTGATTCTGCTCAGTGTTCAGTGATAAAGCTCAATCTTAAATACGATTAGGAGTGTCTGCCCCATAGACATCATTAATAACTGTATGCATCAACAGGAAGTTGTTTTAAGATATGCAGAGCATTTTTGTCATCTATGAAGGATTTTAAAAAAATCACCTGTGCTTTTTCTAATAATGTTTAATGGGATCTATGCCTAACTGAAGTACAGTTTCCCAGAAGCTGGTGAGCCTGGGATGCTTTCTAATGTGGCATCTACATGCTGCGCTTCTGACTTCCCTTGGGTCGGGGTCACCTTCGAAAATCTGACACCAGCAATAATAATAATGCTTTCAAATAATGTTGTATAGTCTTTTTCAAAAGAACTATTAGGAGACCCACCCCCCCCCCCAAAGAAATATTTTTTGCATGTGGATGACAAACAAAATTTTGAAATAAAGAGATAAATTTCTCAAGAGTCAAGAGAATATAGCAAAATTTTAGAAAACCTAGAGCCATGTATAAATCCTTTTTTAGTTTCTGAAGTTATATGATATTAACCAGTTTCCTTTCTTCAGCTCCAAAAACATCCCAACGACCAAGAACACGTCTTCCACGTCCCAAACCTTCAAAACGTCCAAAACGTCCCAAACATAAAACCACACCGAGCCCAGAGGCCCCTCAGACCAAACTAGGTAAATATACGTTTCCTGGTGCCTGTGGAACCTCCTCGGATGTGATAGTGGGGTGACAGTTTAACTTGCCACCTAATAACCCATGACCCTTGAGGGCGAAGGCCCTAGTCAACACCTGGGACTTCCTTACACTGCCTGGTGTCTTCTTGGTACCTGCGTATTTTATTTGCTTCTCCCACGTTGAATTACATTTTTCTCTGTGATTCTGGCTAAGTTCATTTTCAAGAGAATTTGATGACTTTTCTCATGTGCATAACATTTCTTCTTTAAATTACTTTTGATCATTTCTTGCTACAGACATTGATCCTGTTACTCCTGGGACATCTTTAGGTAATGATTCTTTATGTCCTTCAGCAAGAGCTAACCTGTGGTGCTATATAGATGATGACATCATAATTGTCATCCTATAACAGTCTTCATCTTAACATCTAAAAGGCTTTCTTTCTAACAGAAATGGGTATGGAGTTAATTCAGTACAACTATCTTCTTCATATCCCAGCTTGAAATTGCAGCTCTGTTTAAAGAGTTCTGTTTATTAGAGCTGAGGTCCAAATGTGGTTATCTGCATGTCCCTTATTTAGACCACCAGTACAGTATCAATTATAATACCACAAAGTTTCTCTAAGAATCTTTCTACATTTCAAATTCTATATAACTTTTTTTTACTTTATGGATGTTTCAGTGAATTTTGTATACTGTACTCTGGTAAATTACCAAGTGAAAAGTTTGCCTAAGCCTAGTCATTTAAAATTATTATAAGTGACTACGGTGGTTTGAGCGTCTCTCTCCCCATCATAGTTTAGCAGCAATTTGTAATCAGTAATTTGAGATTAAGGACATTTTCAAGAAAATAGGAGTTCCTCATCTTTATTTCTTAAACATGATTGTAATTTTTAACCTCTGGAGAACTCTTAATTATAAATAAAACCTTATTAATATACTAAAGGAGAAAAATTTCAAACCAAAGTAACAAAGTTTTCTCCTCTTAAAGAAACTGACAAGTTTTAGAAAGCTTGGAGCCGTGTTATGTCATCCTGTTCATAGTTTATAGCGCCACCAACACTATATTAATACTACATTTTCTTCCTTCAGCTCCAATAATAACAAAGAGACCCCGTCGTCCACGTCCCAAACCTAAAACCACACCCCATCCAGATGAACCTCAGATTCCACTGGGTAAATATTCGGTTTCTGGTTTAAGGAATCCAAGTGGTCTACCCTAGTTGGGACCCTAAATTGTATGCCCATAATTGGTATATGCCTTATATATCCATTAAGAGTAAAAGCTACTTGCCCTGGCGGTTTTGCTCAGTGGTTAGAGCATCGGCCTGCAGTCCAGAGAGACCCAGGTTCGGTTCCCCCTAACAGCGTGTACCTTGGTTGCAGTTTGTCCCCGGCCCTGGTTGGTTGTGAGGTTGGCAGCCACTTGATGTGTCCCTTTCACGTCAATGTCCCCACCCCCACCCCACCCCCCGCCCAATCTATCTGAATAAAAAATGGAAAAATGTCCTCGGGTGAGAATGAAAAAAAAGAGTAAAAGCTACTCATTAGGAGAACATGAGCTATCTGAGTACCCCATGCTTTCTGTGTGGGAATGTTCTCCATCAATGTTCCTTTGAGGCCTTTTATGTGTTAAAGATAAAGCTTGCTCAGTAAACTGTTGAGCCTATATAATCAATTCAAGTAAACTACTTTTATTTATCCCTTCTAAATCCCCATAACCATATTAGCAGCTGGGAGATACATCAGAAGTAGGAAGTATGTTTTATTTCCCAATCAGTTTGTACTACAGTTGTAAACAAAAGTTATTCCTGCATAAACAAGTAGAAAATAATATGAGACAGTATGTTTACATGAAGGTAAAATAAGTTCTCAAATGGTACCATTGCTATATGCTAAGAGTGTAATAGATATTTGGGGCAGGAGAATTCCAGGATAATCAGAAAGAAATTAATAAAGAATCTGCAGTAGTAGAGGACAATCTGCACTAGTAGAGGACAAGCAGAGGATGACTTGTTGATGCCCTCCTATTAAATGGGCTCATAGGATGAATTAAAGGAAGGGGGGTGGGAATCTGGGATGCCTACTCAAGAGCTTAAATTTGATTCAGTAGGCTTTAGTGATTTTTTTTTTTCCTGCACCAAACCATGCTTTTCCTAATCTTAGAACAGAAGATGCCTAGTCTAATATGATACCACAAACTGAGAGGTCCTTCCTTACCTTATTATATTAAATGCCATTGTTTTTGCTAAGGATTAGTCTCTTGGCATAGTCTCAGCTTCCTTTGGCTATCTGTTTATGTGTAGTAGACAGACCCTAGGAGGACCCCCTACTCTTCACCCCACTTCACCTCCCTCCCCTCAGTTCCTGCCTCTTGGTGTTAAAGTTTTTTGTAATCCATCTTTTCCCTCCTCCTTCCCCTCTCCCTTAGAAGCCTTGTTTATACTGGCAAAATGAATTTTCTGACATTTCATACATTCACATAAATCTCTTTGGTTTCTTTTGTTACTTTTGATCAGTTCCTGACACAGTCTTTGAACCAGTTATTCCTAGAATCGAGGCTCCAGGGACGACACTAGGTAATGACATATGTTCACTGCCATCTGCTTTTCCTGCTCATCTCAACCCCATTTCATTGCCCTCATAACCACCCGTTTCACCGGGCTTCTGTGTCATCCGCTACTGCCATTCAATTACTTCTTAATATATTGAAGAGTATTAAAACAATGCTTTTGTTTTAAGAAAGTCAAGGATAACCAGATAATCCTATTCACAGCTTCTGGAACTAAAACACTCTATTAACCAGAGGTTTTCTGCCTTTAATTCCCAAAGTGCCTGAAGAAACTCATCATCCACATCCCAAACCTAAAACCACACCAAGTCCTGCAGCACGTCAGATGGAACTGGGTGTCCAGGAATCCTGGCAGCCCATCCGGTGGGGTCCAGGGAAAGGGAAGGGACAAATCAGGGCCAGTCGCTGCTTCCACTCCACAGCAGGCTGGAGAACACGGTTGGCAAGGTCTTAGGTGGTAACCAGAGTCCTTCTAATTTGTGAATTGGAATCTTCTTTCTAAATGTCTATTTAATTGACTTCTGATTTGATTCTACTCATCCTTTAAATATTGAAATAGTATTGTGGCCTGAAATAGCTACAGAACAACATATGTTTGGGCAAATAGGAAATTATTTCTTGGTAACTATGAAAGCTGTGTAAGTCAGAGCAAGGATGTAGGGCCAGAGCTGGCAAACACTTTCTATAAGGGACTAGATATTAAATATTTGGGTGGCCATCTAGTCTTTGTTATTGCATATTTTATTTATTTATTTATTGTCTCTTAAAATGGAAAGAAAAAATAATTCTTTGCTCTCATGGGTTGTTTGAAAACAAACCATGAGCAAGATTTAGTTAGGGGCCATAGTTTTGGGATGAAGGGGGTAAAAATGTGCAGAAAGGAAGGGCACGTAGAGAAGCCAGTGAGGAGGCAGAGGTTGCTCTGACCCATGCAGGCTGCCAGGCTTCTAAGTGTTGATCGGAGCCTTTCATTCAGGTTGCTGTAGCTAAATGGGCCCTTAGGACCAGATAAAAGGGGATTTTAATGCTGGACTTAGGAGTTTGGATTTCATGTAGGAATCATCAGTATTCACATACGCCAAAGCTTTCCCTAAGCACTGGACAGAGGGATAGATTGATACCCTGCTGTACCTCAGACCGAATGGCTGCCCCTTCACTGCTGCTCTCTTAAGTACCCCAGTGGTCTCATTCCAAAGATGAGTTTCTAGCAAGATGGGTATGGTTGCCTTTGGTGCGTTACTTAGACGAGGGTCATCAGAGTGAGTGCGGAACTTCAGGGGCACTTCACAGGGATAGTTACCTGGGTACAAAGACAGTCTCTGAGTACACTGGGTACCCAGTGCAGAGACGCCATAGCCCTCAGCTCAGAGGGCTAATAGTGTTTGCTTTGTTCTCTAGGCACATTATTCCTTTGGTACAATTTTTTTTTGAAGTGAGTGTTCTGAGATTATATAAATTTTACCATTTCATTGTTTTTTTATTATTATTATCATTATTATTATTATTATTGGTCAGCTCCTGCTATAGTCCTTGAACCAGTTACTCCTTTGAGAGAGGCTCCAAGGACAGCTTTTGGGAATGTCACTGTCTGACCTGCAGCAAGTGCTTGATTTGCTCATTGTCAAACCCATTCATTCCACTCTGTTGACATTCAATTACATTCTTCATCTTATAAATTGAAAATGCATAAAACAATTTACCTCTTGTTCTTAAAAGAGCTATGCCTAAATCTAGTTTGGGATAGCTTCTTGCCCTGTAACTTACTTTACATTTTTTGCATGCCACCTTATGTTTTTCATTAATCAGAGTGCTCTGTTAAGGTAAATTACATATACCTGTGAGAGTGCCTAATCTTGATCTATGCTAACTAGGCTGTAATAGGAACATTTCATTATACATTCTTCATACATCTACGTTTTTACCTGCCTGTTTTGTTGTTATTTTGTTAACATGTGGATAATTTTTTTCTTTTATTTTTAGTGAATTGTCTAACAGATAATGTGATCAAGGCCGATAAATTTAAATAGCAAACCCCATCCTTAGGGTTAATCTGACTTCCCCTTCCTCTCCACCATAGTTTAGAAATGATTCTTAACCTTTTTGATGCAGTCAGGGAACTCGAGGATAATGTGAAAGATACAAATCTGACTCTCTGAATCAATAGCTTCATTTTATGTCAATTTTGCCCCCCACCCCCACCCCCACCATCTTCAGTAACAAAAGAAGATATAGTAACATAGTAAGGGACATTTTTCACACTAGCAAGATCTATTTCCTAAAACTCAAGAAAATTTATCAAGCTTTGGAAAACTTAAGATTTTTTTCAACCTTATAATATGCAGAACCATAAACTTTAAAGTTACTGAGCATTGTATTTTTCTACCTCCAAAAATATCCCAATGGACATGTCATTCATAACACAAACTAAAACCATTCCATGTCTATGTACATCTGAAACCACACCAGATGACAGCAGAGTCTTTGGTTTAAAGATTCTAGGGCAGTCACTGACTGAGAATGTAAACCCACATACCCCCAGAGAGAGAATTGGGAAGAGACCTTCCCCCTTCATGGTTGGCAAGGAGTTCATGTTTGGAAGAGACATAATTTTTCCTGTAGCTCTGAGTACTAGGAGACATGTTTTACTTCTCAGTCTGTAGGCTAACTGAGCACAAGAACCTTTCTTGCATAAAAAGTCTAGAGGATGAGAACAGGGTAGGATATTTTTGCAAATTCAAGATTTTTCTTGGGTACATAAACATTAAGTGTTAGACGTATCATATAAGGTCTTAAAGAAGTAAAAAATCCATTTGGGCTTCAATAGAGGAGGGACAGAGTTTGGGCCTTGATCCCACATCAGACTACACAAATGGAGAGGTGAGAGTGAACAAAGATGAAAATGTAAGATGTGTATAGAGCCACCAGAAGGGGAAGAGAGCCTGTGGCTTCTATCCATCCAAGTACATGACTCTGCATTTAGATAACACCATGGGAAGTTGAAGGAGACTGACATTGTTCTCAAGGGCATCAGAAACCTCTTCTTTCCACACTGAATTAAATTTTCCCTGTGCTGAGAGTAGACGAGTGCTAAACAGGGACCAAAAGTAATAACTTTCTGGTGAGATAAAGTTGTCCATAACTACAGTTTGGCCAAATCTGAACAAGAAAATTGATTTCCCTTTGTATTAGTTTGCCAGAGCAGCCTTAACAAAATACTACAGACTTGGTGGCTTAAACAACAGATATCTCTTTCTTGCAGCTCTGTAGGCTGGAAGTATAAGATCAAAGTGTCAGCAGATTTAATTTCTCTGGTTGGCTTGCAGATGGCTGCCATCTTGCTATGTCCTCACATGGTCTTTTCTCTGTGCACATTTCTCTCCCTCTTCTTATAAGGACATTAGAACTATTGGGTTAGGGCCCCACCCCTCATTTAACCTTAATTGCCTCTTTAAAGGCCCATCTCCAATTACAGTCACATTGGGAGTTAAGGCTTCATATGAATTTTAAGGAGACACAATTCACTTCATAACCCCCTTTATCCAGAATTTTAATATATATATATTTGAAGTAAATATTGTAGCTCTTGATATACTTTTTTAAAAAAAAATTGTATTACTTCAGTTTCTGTTACAGACCTTGGACCTGTTACTTTTACAACTGAGACCTCTGGAACATTCGGTAATGACTCTGCCATTCGCTCAGTGCTTTTGCTTCTCATCGTATAGTCCTTCCCGTCTCCATTCCCATAACATGGCTTTTCCGTCTTTATAAGACAGCCTGTGTCTCGTAATCCATCATGCTCTGTTGCCATTCAATCACTGTCTTCATCCGAAGAGTACTGATGCCTCTTAAAAACCAGTTTCCTGTTTTTACGAGAGCAGACATGAGCTCAGTCCAAAACATTTCACTGTCATGGTGCATTCGAAACTGTCATGTTGTCTTGTGCTGCTTTGAACAGTGTTCTGTGTTAAAGCTGAGTTTAAAACAAATTGAGAACTATTTCTTAAGTAGGCTGATTTCAAGAACAGCTATTCTTATGTTCCTTTGCACACCTAAGTTTCTAGATTTTTAAAAATGTATTTGCATGTTATGCTGTTTCTTTCTTGGTGCTTTAAGTACTGATGTGTCTTATTACCAATTTGACAAATATGGAATTACCCAAATCTGAAATTTTAACTTACAAGCCTCTTCCTTAGTATGACCCTTCCCTCCCCTAGCAGCAGAGTTGAGCATCTCTTCTCAGTCATTTTTTTTTTCCCAAGACAAAATGCTCTGAGTATCTGATTACAAGCGTTAATCTTCATGACTTAAATGAGTGATTTCACTATATATATGATTTTTTCCCCAAAGTACTCTTAGTGATAAAAAGAAGACACATTAGTATAAAATGAGTCAAAATTTTAAACTGCAGACAATTTCCTGGGACTTTAAAAAATATTACAAGTTTTGGAAAAACCTCCCCTTAGTATGAGGAGCCATAAGACCTAGAGTAACACAGGCTTTTCTTTCTTCAGCTACCAAAGCATCAAAAAGACCCCATCGCCCGCGTCTCAGACCTAAAACCACACCGAGCCCTCAAGTACCTCAGAGCAAACCGGGTAAATGTGGAGGAGCCCTAGTAGCCTAGTGAGGACCTAAAGCTGTGCCAAGCTCTTATTTTCTTTAAGTGTGAGGTCAGGAGGCATAGCCAGTAATGTCTCCTCTTCACAGGTGTCAAGGAGAATAACATGAGTAAGAGATAATGTGGGGGCCAGAATACCTTATTATTTCTATGTGAGAATCTTCTTTGATATGCATTTAGTATATTTCTTACTATCACATTTTATTCAAATCTCAAAACTTCTTTAGCAGAGCCAGTATATTCAGTTCAAGTAAATAAACAAATCATAAAACCCAGCATATTCCTGGACCAATATTGGCAATCGTGGGTGATATGTCAGCTGTAGGAGACCTGTTTTATTTCTGAAACAATAAAATTGAGTACATTTTTACATGATACAAACATTAAATATTGATCTTGCAAAGGAAAAGATTAAGGTAGATTATACTTGGACCTTGGACCCACTGTAGGATTGAATGAATAGAGGGAAAAGGGAACCAACAGAAGGACTGGACATGTGGGTTGGGTAAGGGTTAGGTTAACCATGAAGGCAGTCCAGTCTGCTTGGAACAGGCTGTCCTACTTCTAGGTAATCAAATCATGGCTGTTGATGCTGCATCTAGGCACAACTGAAGAGGATTTTGAGGACCTGACTCAGGAGCTTAGACTTGATACAGAGACATCAACTGTCTCTCCACTTTTTCTGGGCTTAGGCCAGACATATGCTCTACTGAGTATTACAGACTGAGTGCCATGGTTTGGGCAAGGGACTCAGACTCTTTCCAAAGATGAGTTCTTGGCAAGATCAACATTGTCCACTTCAGTGATTGATTTTTATATCTGTTTCAAACTTATAAACTGTCTATTTATTCATGTTGACTTAAACATGGTAAGTATTCATGTTCATCTTTTATGGAAGTACAGGTTGATCAGATTTTTTAATAGACAGTTTCTTTTCCATGCCAGTTAGAATCTCTTAATTAAAACCTAGGAGAATTTCATGCTGACTTCTTTAAGACTCTAAGATAGTTCAAAGGCTAATCCTAAAACTGATTGTGAATATAATTTGGTGAAATTTTCAAAGAAACATCTACTCTTTTTCCCAGCTATTTTTTTCTTTGTTTCTGTAGAAGGATTGTTTACAAGTAAAATTGTTTGGATGTGAATGTTCTAATTTTTCATGTATTTTAAAATCTCTTTGGTTTACTGTATTTTTTGGGTCAGTTCCTGCTACAGTCTTTGAACGTGTCACTCTTAGACCAGAGGCACCAGGAACATTAGGTAACAATACCCTGTGTTTTCAACAAGCCTTACCCTGGTAATTGTAAAGTCCAGAGTCTCATCTGGCTTCATGTGACAATAGTGTCATCCTTTATGGTCATTCATTTGCATTCTTCTAAAGATTATGAAAACTGGTGTTTTTTTTATTGAATTTATTGGGATGACATTGGTTAATAAAGTTATATAGGTTTTAGGTATATGATCCTACAATACATCATCTGTTGATTATACTGTGTACTTACCACCTCAAGTCAAGTCTCCTTCCATCACCATTCATCCCCACTTTACCCTCTTCTACCTCCCCCACCCCTTTTTCCCTCTGACAATCACCATACTGTTTTCTGTGCCCAGGAGTTTTTCTAGAAAGATGAAGGGATTAAGCACAATTATGAAAACCGTTCAAACAAATTACCTGTTGTTTTTTAGTATAACCAGTCATGCATGAACCACATTAGGACATTTATTTACCACACGACCTATTTGAAGTCGTGTCATGTCATTCTTTGCCTTGTTTAAGCAGTGTTTGTAGTAAAACATTTTCAAACATATCATGGCTCTCTACCTCTTATCTAAACAGATAAAGCCATTAAGAACCATCACTGAACCAAGAGGATCCATTATTGCATATCTACATTTCTACCTTTTTTTTCCCTATTTGCATAGTATTTAATTGTTTTGTTTTTATTTAGGTAATACTATGTACTTAAGTTATATAGAAAATGTGCTCAAAATTGGAAGATTAAATTATAAATCTCAGATAGTATAGGACCTTCATTACCCATTAAAACTTAGCAATAGTTCTTAATCTTTTTGTTAGCCAATCAAGCTGTCCTATGAGACTTTGATTATAATTACAAATCTTTATTTAATTAAAAGGTATTTTTGTTTTCAAAGAATCTTCTATGATAAAAGAAGCTATAAAAGAAATATGTGACAAAAATCGCAAATGTAAAAGGCAAATATCTAACAAGATGTGAAAATCTCGAATCATATTTTGATCTCCAATAGCTTCTAGAACCACAGATAATGTAGTTATGTAGTAACCCAAGAACTTCTTCCTTTAGCTTCCAAACCATCTCAGAGGGGTCGTCCATGTGCCAGACCAAAAACCACACCACGTCCTGAAACACCTGAGTCCAAACCAGGTAAACATGTGTTCCTGGTTTAGAGTCTCAGCAGCCTAACCTAGCTGGGTCTCAAGAGTAAATCTGAAGCAGGGAAAGGTAGATTAAGAAAAAGTGGAGCCTTGAAATCACCATAGTACATGGATGAGTAAAAAGATGGGGAGGAATAAAATCAGAAAGAATAGATAAAAATAGACTAATCAGAAAAGTCTAACCACAATACTAGTATAGAGGATATCTGACTTCAAGTTGGTAGTCAAAGCTTTTATGGATCTAGATCAATCTATGGACTTCCACGGTGGCATTCCTGTGGCATCTGATGGAGCAGTTGAGATTTGATCCAGTAGACAGCAAGTTTTTTGCACATGTTCTTTCTTTACTTAGATACCCTATTTGATTCATCATGCTTAGGTCTCAGCATCTTTCCAAAGATGCATTCTTAGCAATCAATACCCACACATCCCACTTTGGCTTATTAGTTAGAATCAGATAATCAAAGAAGGAGAAATAAGGAAATAACTACCTGACTTAGGTATGGCCAAATTTTAGAAAAGAAACCATATTATTGTCTAGTTTAACAATTTTTATAAGTTGCTATATAGTTCTAGAAACTATATTATACTAGCAAGATTCATTTTGAAGTAAAGTTTGTATTTTCTTGCATTGAAAACAATTATTTGGTTTATTATCAATACTTTTGGTCAGTTTCTACTGCAGACTTTGAACCTGTTACATTCAGAACTGAGGCTTGGGTGACAACACAAGGTAATAACATATTGTGATCCTCAGTAAGTGTTTTCCTCCCATTGTCAGATATATTCCATCAACATCGTAGCTACATGTTCTTTTGCTTCTTAAGGCTACATCATCATCCTTTATTTTCAGTCCATTATATTATTCATCATAAAAATATTGAAGATTCTTAAAACAAGTTATTCCTTGCTTTTGAGAGAGCCATGCATGAACCTAACTCAAGTCATCTGTTATACATACAGCCATCTGAAATTGTTTTGTCATTTTGTGTATATTTTAACCAATGTTTTGTTAAATCTGCATTTAAGAATCAATTCTCTTGACTCTAACAACTATTATGTTGTCCAAGAGATTTTTGTGGATCTAAAGGTCTACTTTTTTTTTTTAACTGTGATATTTGTTCTTTGATTGATATTTTAGTTAATTACATGGTCTATAATTATTTAGCTTTTTATTTGTAATTAATTATTTGTAATTAATTAATTACATAGTTTTACAAATAGAAACTGTCAAAGTTTTTATTTGGGTATCACCAACATTGTAATATTTTAACAGTAATTCTTACCCTTTTGATTCAGCAGAAGAATCCTACAAATGATTCTTCACTTCTTGAATTAATAACAATTTATTTATGACTCATTTCCAGTGAACTTTTAATGGTAAAAAACAATATACTATTATAATAAGGGTGAAAGTTTCAAATTAAAAAGTTAAAGACATATTTCCAAAAGCATAAGGAAATCTAATAAGTTTCAGGAAATCTAGATCCATGTGTCATACTACCCATAGCTCCTGAACTATAGACTCTGTAGTAACTGAAGGTTTTCTTTCTTCAGCTCCTAAACCATCAAAACGGACCCGTCGTCCACGTCCCAAATCTAAAACAACAACAACTACTGAGGCACCTCAAACTAAACTGGGTAAATGTGGATTTCTGGTAAAAAAAAGACTGATTCCTAGCAGTTTATGAGAGTCTGAGATGAATGCCCATGGTGGGAGTGATAGCCCCTGTGAGCCCTCAGTGGGTAAAGGCACAAGGTGACTCTCTGCTGCTCCCACTGTTAAGTTAGCAAAGGAAATCATGGTTGGGGGAGACCTGTGTAGCAGCCGAATTCCTTGTGCTTTGTGCATAAAGATCTCTTTTAATAGGTATTTCATTTATTTTTCCTTATTTCATTATATTAAAGACAAAATATATTAAATAGAACCAAACATCTTTAATTCAAGGCACAAACATTAAGTGCCTTCCATCCCAACAGCCACAACAGCTGTGAGGATATCACAAAAGTAGGTGGCTTGTTTTTACTTCTCAGTCTGTAGTATAGTCAAAGTCAAAATCTGCCCCAATATCAAACATTCAAAGATTATAAACCAAGGCAGTGTGTCTGTGAAAATCTAGCTTGTTTTTTTGCAGGGGCTGCAAACATCTGTGAGTTCAGAGGGAAGTTGTAAAGGAGAGGAATAAGGAGTTGGAAAGACATAGGGTCTTAAAATCATGAAAATGAACAGAGGCAGAAAAAAAGAGGGTATAGAGGCCACAGGCTTCTGGAAAAACAGGGTTTCTACTACTAAGTGATGATGATAATGCTCTGTTTGGAAGGGTCCATAGAGCAGTTAAAGAAAAAAATTCTTGAATGTAAGACACAGAGCTTGGATTTGGACCTAGAAGCATCAGTGGCCTTCCACCCACATAGGATACTACATTTTCATTATCAGAGAGGTGCTCTACTGGGCACCACACACTAAGTGAATGTTCATTATCCTGGTTTGTTGAGTGCTTTTGCCTTAACTGAGGTCTCAGCCTATTTCCAAATATGAATTTTCAACAATATGAACATGGTCACTTTGCTTTATTCTTTGTTCAAACGTAAGTGCTATTTATTATATCTATGATAAGCTATTTTCTTAAAGCTTCCACAGATAAACAAGCAATTGCCAGAACAGTTACTTAAGTATATATTTAGTAAAATTTTCAAACAAGTTTCCAAGGGCAGTCTTCTACAATAGTTGGAATTAGGTACTTAGACAGAAGTACTGTGTTGACTTTGTTGAGATATTTACCAGATTTGTGGCCAGACCTTTAAATAACAAGCATTTAATTTCAGAAAAAAAATTTAATCTGCTGTATATCTATTAAAGCAACATTATTCTTGTAAGATTTAACTTGCTGACTTTCACAAGTGTTTATTTCATTGCTTTTGATTAGTTCCTATTACAGATCTTGAGCATGGTACTCCTAGAACTGAAGCTCCAGAAATCATAGGTAATAAGAATGTTGTACCCTTCAAATAGTGCTTTTCCTACTCATTGTCATACCATTATAGCTACAGGTTCTCCTGCATCTTAAAACCATCTCAGCATCCTTTGTCATTAATCCATGCAGCAGTTCTCAACCTGTGGGTCCCCACCCCTTTGGGGGTAAAATAACCCTTTCACAGGGGTCACCTAAGACCATCGAAAAACACATATTTCCGATGGTCTTAGGAACCAAGACACTGCTCCTCTATCCGTCTCCAGGCGGGTCCGCCCACATGCAGATACGCCCACATACAACATGAGGAACTGTATTACAGGGTCATGACATTAGGAAGGTTGAGAACCGCTGTATTACAGTCTTTATTCTGAAATTGTGCTAAGTTCTATGTCAAGTTATCTGTTGAATTTCAGAGAACTGTGTATAAACTAATTTCAGGACATCCAACTGCCATGTAACTTCTCAACATTGTGTCACATGATCATGTGCCTTTGTTTAAACAGCATTGACTATTTTAAGCTTCATTCCAAGCATGAATTTGGATCTATCCCTTATTTACACTGCTTATGTCTCACCAATTGTGGAAATACCACATTCCTTTGCTCATATGACTTTTTATTATATTGGGCTCTGTGTGATTATATTGGTAGATGTATTCTTTCAATGAATAATGTTTTTAGTTGATTGTCAAATTTTTTAATGTCCTATGTCTTGAAAGTTTAAATGATAGGCTTATGGGATAAAGTAGGCTGACTTTCCTTTTCTGACAATTTCTTAACTTTTATTGAATCAAGGACCATTTTGAAATTTTGAAGATCATGGACCATTCATTATGCATCAATCCTTATGTTTTCAAATATATGAACTCATCATTGTACTGTGATTATTTAAATACTAGACAAAAACAATAGACATTTATTTCAACTTGTAAAGAGGGCAAACAGACTGATGAAGGCTTTTTCCCGTAGAGTTAGGAAAGTGTATATTATACAAATGTGCCAAAAACCTTGTCCAGCAGAGTCTTCCATATTAGCAAGAATCATATAATCAAACATCTAGGAGAACTTCTTGTTAACCACAGTATTTAACAGAGTGCAATGCTGTATCTATTTTAGGATAGTAATGGGTACTTGGACGTTTGGTCAAATCTACAAAGGACAAGTGTCTCTTTTCTCTCAGTTCTGAAGTTTAAAAATTGACTTCTGAAATTAGTCATCAAGTAAATTTGTAAAATTTCTTTACCTTATTTTATTATTTTTTGCCCGTTCTTTCTACAGTTCTTTAAACCTGTCACTCTTAGAACCAAGGTTCCAGAAACAACATTAGGCAATGATAGTCTGTTTCTGTCCATTTTTACTGCTCATTGTCAACCCATTCTGTCATCATCATAGTCACATTGTCATCAGATTCAATGAACTGTCTTATCATCTTCTGATGTCTTTCAGTTTTATTTTTCTTCTTAAAAATATTGCAGACTCTTAAAAGAAATTACCTATTTTTAGAAGCTATGCATGGACCTAGATCAGAATGTTTGTGTTATTTTAATTTTTGTCATGTACTTTTGTCTAAACACTGCTCACACTTAAAGCTGAGTTTCAAATGCATTGGGTAATGTCTTTATCTTCTCCAGACCAACTAAACATAAACATAACAATTAGTATTTTGTCATGGATTCCTTGGCATATTTAAATATCTTGGTGTGAATCTAAAACCACACAACCTACTATTTGGTTATAGTCCTTACCTTTTTTGAAATTAGAGATATACAAGAGTCTACTCCTTGACTTAATTTTATGTGTTTTATCTCTCAAGACTCTGTACTAATTTTTTTAACTAACAAAATAGGAGAAAATATTTCAGTCTTAAAAATTATATACCTTAAATGTCAAGGAAATATAACATATTTAGAAAATCAAGAACCTTATTTCCAAAACCACCTTCACTAGAGTAATCCAAAATTTCTTCCTTCAGCTCCTAACCATCACAACAATCCCATCGTCCACATCCCAAACAGATTTTCCAAAGCAAGCTTTCGTATTAGTTAAGAGTCAGAAAATCAAACACCTCGAAAAACCTCATGTTGACCATAAGATAGTTAACAGAGTTCAAAAGTTGTGACTACCTCCTGAAATGAATTATTCCTAGCTACAGTTTAACCAAATCTCCAAAAAGAAACTGTTTACTTCCTGTCAATTTAAAAGTTTTAAAAATTGTTTGTCATCTGAAACTAATGTTTTGAAAGAAAAATTAAGATTCTATGTGTGTTTAAACTTTCTCATTTTCATGTTGTTGTTTTTGGTTAGTTTCTACTACAGGCTTTGAACCTATTATTCATAGTTCTGTGGCTCCAGGAACATTAGGTAATGATTTCATGACCTCATTCATGTTTTCTTGCTCATTAAAAGCCATTCCATCACTGTCACAGCCAGAGTTGCCCTTGCTTCCTGAGACTGCTGTTGTCCTCCCATTCCATACTTCATTGTATATATAGTCAGGAGTCTTAAGTCAAGTATTACCTATTGTTTTTAACAAATGTCCTTAGATCTGGTTGAGGAAATCTATCTGGCATGAAACCCCCTTTAAAATTTTATTATATGATTTAGTGAAGAGTCTGAAGTTCAAATTGCTCCCCTTTTAGTATCATGAAGTTTCTCTGAGCAACTTTAGTTTCTACCAGATCTGTGTAATATTTTCATTGTTCTTTTCTTGTTTTAAGGAATGAGAATTTCTTATTGTATTAAATTATCAAAAGAAGTTGCTTCCTAGGAATGACAGTTCTAATAAATACAAGTTATAGACTCCTCAACCTTTGATTAATTTAGCTATTCCTTATTCTCCACCACAATTTAGAAATTGTCCTTAATCTTTACTCAGTAGGAATTCCTCTGAGTATCTAATTATGCATATTAATATTTATTCCTTTAATCAGAAATTTTTATATATTATTTTGGCCTCTAAAGGATTCTCAGTGATGATAAGGAACAAATTATATTGGTATAGTAAAAATTTTCAAACTTTGGAAATAAACTCAAGAAAATCTAATAAGCTATTGGTGATTTCTAGAACTACAAATACTAGTAACCCAATTGGAGGGGACCATCTTCCTCCCAAACTTGAATCTTCCTGAAGCTTCTCCATTGAAACTAAGAAAATCTATGGTTTCTGGTTTAAGAGGCCTTCCAGCCTATTGCAGCTGGCCCAGGAGTGACAATGCTGTGACTTGCTAACTTGCACTTTCACCTCTATGCCTTCTAAGAGAAAGGCACAAATAGTGGTTAACATGGCTGCAGCTGCTGGGTTGACCAGAAGGCTCTTGGTTGGAAAGCTCTATGTGGTAGCCAAAGTTATTATGGGCTCTGTATAGGGATTGTCTCCAACAAAAGATGTTTCTTAGTCAATTTTCTTATTATTCCACTTTATTCATCTCTTTTTAAACAGTGCTGCTTCTTTGGTTAATGTAAACAAACATTTCCTTGCCCTCTGTATTCCCAGCACCATATTAGCAGTTGGGTGGGGTGGGGTGGGGTTCTAAACAGAGATGGAGATCAAAAATAATTGTATGTTTGCCCTGGCCAGTTTGACTCAGTGATTAGAGCATCGGCCTGTGAACCAAAGTGTTACAAGTTCAATTTCTGGTCAAGGGCACTATACCTGGGTTGCAGGTTTGATCCCTGGTCCTGGTCAAGGTCATGGGGGAGGCAGCCAGTTGATGTGTCTCTCTCACATCAGTGTTTCTCTCTCTCTCTCTCCCCTTCTCTCCACTCTTTCTGTTAAAAAAAAAAAAAAAAAATCAGTGGAAAAATATCCTCAGGTGAGGATTAACAACAACAAGAGTAAGGGTATGTTTTCCCTTTTGAACAGATGACAATATAATTGTGGAAAAAAAACCTGTTCTCAGGTTTTTCTTAGATATAAGACAATTTGCTTATACAAAAGCAGCTTGTTTAATTGAGAGGTAAGAATGTACAGAGGAAATATTTAAAGGCATCAAGGATCTATGTGGGCTGTTAGAAAATAGTTGGATTTTGAAATAATTTTAGGATTTGAATTAGCTGATGGAAGGATGGGAACAGCAAAACTAAAACAAAAGTCTTGACCCCTATTGAGGGTACCCAGGAGGGTAGTAAAACGAACATAGAACCAAACGTTCCTCGATGATACTGATCATTTTGTTAGCTGTGGTAAGCTCTTAACAGACCTTGTGGGAATTCAGATCCAGATGCAATTATCAATGAGAACCTACTTTTTTCAAATAGGCTCTTGCTTTTTCTAGAAGAAAAAATATTATATATGAAGAATTAGATAGTGAATATTTTAAACTTTGCAGACTATTCAGTCTCTGTCACATCTATTCGATTCTGCAATTGTAGCCTTAAGTCAAAGCCAATATGATAATGTAAATGATATGTAAATATGCCTTGAATTATCTTAGTTTGTGCATGTTTTGTTCCAATAAAACTTTATTTAAATTTTATGACATTTTTACATGTTATAACATATTACTCTTCTTAAAAGTATTTTTCCATCATTTAACACTGTAGAAAACATTCTTAGCTCACAGGTCATGCAGAGGGAGGGCCATAGTTTGCCAATTTCTGCTTTAAATAATGCATATTCTGCATGAGCTCTCCATTATCCTGCTAGTTCGAGGGTCTGTATTTTAATTCATTGCTGCTTTTGTCTAAAACCTATGAAATAAAGTATACATGAATGACAACTTAGACCCTCTTCTTTCAGCTCCCACTGAACTACAAACTCTCATTTTGAGACCAGTGACATCACCAAGCCTAGAAATGACACAAAGTCAACCTGGTAAATAGAATGTTCTGTCTACCTGGGTACACTGAGCTTCAAGGGACAATTGCAGGACAATTGCGAAGTGTTGTATTTTCAGATATTAAAACCTCAAAGGAATATACATTTAACAACTCTTTCTACATATTGTACAATACTCTTGCCATGATTGTATATTGGTGTTTAATTAGTAATGTGTTGTGTTTTGTATTGATTGTGTTGCTCAACAGTATAGAAAAACATATCTTCATTTCACTGTTTGCTTTGCATTTCATTTTAGATAATAATCATATATCTGATTAAGTAGTCAATAAAACCACTTAGAAGAACTAACTTTATTCTTTATCCTTATTTTTTACTAACAGTTACAAATTTGTGGTATTGTTTACTAGTAAGCTCAATTTGTACTCTGCCACGTGTAAAGAATATTGGTTAAATTGTGATCATCAAGGAAGGAGAAAATTCTCCTTTCAGAAAAGATATAAAACTTTACCTTATACAATATGAACCTGCACATAATGGCCTTCAAATTTGAAAACAAAAGTTTTAAATCATTTTTAGCAATGCTATTGCTATACCCTAACATTTATTTTAAAACATTGGATCTTATTTTTTAATAGTAAATGATTGTAATCTTTTTCATTTCCTTTGTGCATCTTTTAATTAGCTAATGGCATTTTGGTGCTTATGTTGGCAGTACAATGTATACAATGTAAACTACAGCACTTATAAAATTGTGAATTCAGTTCAGTTATCAGAGCTTCTTTTAGTGTTGATGATAATATAGTATCATATCGACTAGCTTGGAGCAGTTATAGGTATAAGGCACTTTTCTAAATACTTAATATGTATTCATGTATTCAGTGCTCACAACAACCCATTCTTGATCAATTGTATTGTGTGTGTTTTTTGTTTTGTTTTGTTTTTGGTTTTTACTAGTTTCTGAAGTCCTGGAATCTGTTACACTTAGCACTGAGTCATCAGAGGAAGCTATAGGTAAAAATGTTTCCTAATGGGAAGTCAGGTATATGTGCTTTTTCCATCTCATTGTGGAAGTCCTCTTTGAATGCCCTCATGCTTTGTGACATTCTGTAGCTCCTCACGTCTTCTCTGTGCTCATCCAGTGAATCTCGAGAGTCAAATATGATATACAGCACATTGTGCTAGTGTCTGCTGTATTGCTATGCAAGTTTCACAATTTCCTTATTTAATGCTCTCTCAGTCTGAATGCAGATTTTAATATTTTATGTTCTGATCACTCTTTCAATGTGAATATGCACAAGCTATTTTTCATTTTAATATCATTTGTAGTATTCATCCACATGCTTTCCAAAGACCCACTCTATGTCTTTTCTCACTAAAAACCTTTTTCAAAAAACGTAAGGTAGCAAACGATCTGCTTTGCTCCAGGTGGAAATTGCTGTAGTTATTGTGTGAGAGTGTGTGTGTGTGTGTGTGTGTGTGTGTGTGCATTTTCCCACACAGCACATTGCCTGTATGTCCTGCTTTCATTTCTGCCATCTAAAATTATAGTTATCTTCACAAGTCACCTAAATGTTACTTTCACAAATGTATCTGCTTAAGATAACTGATGTTTGTTTTCAGATTAAACAGTGTTCCATTACTGAGTGCTATGGGCTGCCCACCACTAACCAGACATTCCCCGCTTCCTCCCTAGCCTCAGCCGAGACAGATTATGTATATCCCAGTGCTAAATCACCACTCAGGCCAGAGGAGCCAAAGACTGACTGGGGTAAAGGTTTTCATGCTTTTACTCATTTAATTCAACAAAATTTTAATTAGTGTATATTATGTCCATGGAACATATACATTCAAGCTGTTGTACTTGTTCTACAATTCAGTGGATTTGAAGAGCTATAGCTTCCAAAATTCTTGGATTCTTAAAATGATCATTGACTCTCTGAATACAGAAATAAGTTTTAGTTTCTCTTCAGTATCTAAATATTGAGGCATAATAACATTTGACAACCAGTTAATGACTATTAAAACATAAATATTAGCAGAATGGTTAGTTTTATAGGATAGAATTTCCACTCTTGGTTCTCTTTTTTTCTTGTCTAAATTCATTGTCCTATCTGTAAAAATACGATTAAATTGTCATAAGGGAGTTGCCTTAAGAGAATGGAGTTTGTTGATATTAAAGAAAAATACATGACTACAGCTTAACAAGTCTTACAATTTTTAAAATTGTTCTCCTTTGTTTTGATACAGTTGTGGAATCTATTGCAAATGTGTCTGAACCACCTGAGACCACATTAGGTAATGACACACCTAAGCAGCTTTTGTCCTCATTGCCACCATCATCTGAGAACCTCAGGTTCTCTCTCATTGTGAATTCATGTTGCAACATCATTTTTTGTCACAGCAGTTCATTTTCTTTATAGGTTCTTCTATTCATAACCATTGTCCAAGACGTCTCTTCTTCCATTCAGTTTTGTTTCTAGACCTGGTCTCTTTTTCTACTTAAGTCAGCAAAACTATCCAATCTAAAACCTTTTTCCTAACACTGCATATTCTGCCAGCTTGATGTTGTGTTGAATATTTCAGATATTTTTTGTATAATGATCCATTCACACTTTCTACCCTGGCAACACACTTTCCATTAACACTCATTCCATCATGTTCATTTACATGTTTGATGTTTTCTCCATTATCTAAGTGAAAGTTGATGCTTCTTGAATTGGCTTATGCTTTAACACTTTTGTATTACTTTGTTTTTTGTTTTTGTTTTTTTTATGGCTGCTACTGAGTATATCTTTCTAGCATTGTTGAGGAGATAATAGTGTGGAGGGAAGATTTTAAAAATAAGGACATTGCTTACTTTGAAAGTATTCGTGTAACCTGGCATCTCTAAACATTTTTCAAACTGAATGCATTATGAAGGAAGAATGCTATGCTGCTGAAAACTTGCAGTTTTCTTTCTTTTTTTAAAGAAAAAAAACACTATCTGTTACCATCATTTCTGTCATCTGTACTAAAGGTGTATGGAGCACCATGGTAACCTCAGTTATTCTCCTTCAATTTCCATAGAAGCATCAACTCTGCCTTTCCAAACTGTAATCCTACCCAGCCCAAATGAGCCTCAGACTGGACCGGGTAAATACATTATTTTGTATTTCATGTAGAAGGTGAGTGTTTGCAGAATATAAGAATGGAAAGACAATATAGGCACTACCTGACATCAGAAGCCCTGCCTTTATCACTCAGCTCAGTCTTTGCTGCCCCGCCTCTCTTCTGTCCATCATCTGTAGCCACTCCCGTGGCAGTGGTGTGAATGTTCTTTAGGATATGACTGAGAAACACCTCTCGGCTCCTGCGCAAGTGTTTAACCTAGGAAATAGTCATGTTTCTGTGGAAGACCGGTTATATTCCATTTAAATATAAATATATATTCTAATTTTAAGTGCTTTATCATCTTGACTGGTTTTACTAGTTCTGTGGTCATGTAAAAAGTGTTTTAAGATATCTAATTTGTGTTGGAGGTGAACAGAATCGGGTTTCACTGTGCAATTCAGATAAAAAGTTATCACTGGCCAGTCACCTTGTCATTATTCAGATCTTTTACTTCTTTCCACTCCTTCCTGCAGTGGTTTGGCCATTTGATTACATGCAAATAAGAGGAATTTAAATCAAACCAGTGACTTTAAAAAGTCACCAAAGGTTTACTTAATGGCAGAGTTGCAAATGAAGGAAAACCTGTCTTCGACATGGATAGCTACATACGCTGCTTCTTACAAGGAAAAGCCCTCTCAGTATCTATCTTCTTGGAATAGGAGTTTATTATAAATAAGCCCATACTTGTGTTTTGATTGCCATCAAATTTTTTTATATGGTTCTGTTTCTAGAAAAGATAGATATATTAATTTTACTCGTCATCTTTGGAAATATCCTATTAAATATTGCCTGTCAAACTCGACAGTTTATTACCAAAATTTTGCATTGACCGCACAACTGGATCCGTGTCAGTTGTCTCTAACTTTTCGAAGTTTGTTTTTATAGCTATAATAATATTATTGAAATGTTTGCTTGTGAATACTATTAAGTGATTCTTACCTCTTTCTGAATCATTTTTGTGGAATTGCCTCGTGATATGCCTTTACCTGCAAACCTTCGTTCCTATTACCTGGGGAGGCAAGTAGCCTCTCAATAGGAACCCCAGCAAGCAAAGAAGTTGAGAGTCAGGAAATCATGAGACTGAAAGAAACTCTAGACTCAGAGAATTTTAGAATTGGAAGGGCTCTTTGAAACTGCCGTACCTTTTGGTGGAGATCCTGCCGCTGTCACCCAGTGATTGGCAAAGGGGCTCTGAAGCCCCAGCTTGCAGGCTCCCAACCCGGTGTGACCTCTAACACATCTTGGTGTTTCTCTCTCTACAGGTGAGAATGTTCCACTGAAACCATTGCATACCTTGCATATTTTGACTTAGTATCAGGAGGAAGTCTCTGCAGGCTCTAGAAGCTTCTTCTAGTATCCAATAGCTCTTACTTTCAGCAATCTTTTCTTAAGGTGCCTGAAACTCCGTGACCTTGAAAAACATTTTTTTCTTCTTACCTCTCTTATCTCAGACACACTGCAGTCCAACCAAATGAGGTGTTTCCACAAACAGCAGCCTTGCATTTGATCATTCCTTTTCTCCAGAAGGATATACTTTTCATTTTCTTGGTGAAGAAATAATTGGTTTTTATACTGAATGTCCTAGAATTCCTTCGGGAATTGCCCAGTGAAGTAATAACTTTCTTTAGTAATCTATCCTTTTAATTTCTGTTCAATTTCTCTTCCTCAGAATGACCAATAAAATTATTTTGTTTAATAAGATTAATTTTTTTATCAGCAGTTGCTATTGAAATGTGACATGCTAACTTTTTTTGTAGAAGAAATTGTATCTATTTGCACTCAAAATATGTATCATACTAGGATAATCTGATAAAATGGTGTGAACTTGTATTAAGGATGAATACTTGTTACTATGGAATTTATTTTAACCTATTTAAAAGGTATTTGAAGTAGATGTTCCTGGAATTCCAACAGTTTCATTTGCCAGCTGAATATCTTGGATATCATTTAATGTGCCTTCTTCTTTTGTTTTCTGTTATAATAAGAAATTATCTTCCTATACTTTGTGGTTCTTTGGAAGCTTTCATTGCATTAATTGCTGTGTATCAAGGTCATCAGTCATTCAACAAACATATTGAAGAGCCCAGAGCCTATTAAATACCATGGTTCTTGAAAAGCTCAAGATTTCCAAACTTATATCCTTTTTTTTAGCTCCCAAGCAGACACCGCGTGCTCCTCCCAAACCAAAAACATCTCCACGTCCAAGAGTCCCACAAACACAGCCAGGTAAACACATATTTTATATTCTGGCCTGAAAGTTTGATGTTAGTGAAGTTATTCTGTTGAATTATAGCAAGGTGGGGTGGGGTTTTTTTTCTCCTTTTTTAAATTAATTAATTTATTTCTGTTACAGGTGTTTCTCTTTTTTCCCCTGAGACACCCTCCTCCCTATCTACCCCCTCACCAAACATTGTTGTCTATGTCCATCGGTTACACATACATGCATATAAGTTCTTTGGTTTATCTCTTCCCCTTCCCCACCACACCCCACTCCTCTGAGGTTTGTCAGTCTGAACCATACTGAACCATACCTTTCTATGTCTCTGGGTCTGTTTTGTTCTTCAGCATTTTTTGTTCATTATATTCCCAAATAAGTGAGATCATGTGATATTTGTCTTTCTATGATTGGCTTATTTCACTTAGCATAATATTCTCCAGGTACCTCCATGTCGTCTCAAAGGATAAGAGATCTTTCTTTCTTATTGCTGCATCGTGTTCCATTGTATATATGTACCACAGCTTTTTTATCCACTCATCTATTTATGGACACTTAGGCTGTTTCCAGATCTTAGCTATTGGAAATAGTGCTGCTATGAACATGGGGGAACATATATTGTTTCTGGTTGGTGTTTCAGGCTTCTTAGGGTGTATTTCTAGAAGTGGGATCACTGGATCAAATGGCAGTTTAATTTTTAATTTTTTTGAAGAAACACCATATTGTTTTCCATAGTGGCTGCACCAGTCTGCATTCCCACCAGCAGTGTATTAGAGTCCCCTTTTCTCCACACCCTTGCCAGCACTTGTTGCGTGATGATTTGTTGATGGCAGCCATTCTGACAGGTGTGAGGTGATACCTCATTGTTGTTTTAATTTGCATCTCTCTGATGATTAGTGACGTTGAGCATTTTTTCATATGTCTCTTGGTCATTTGTACGGCTTGTTTGGAGAGATGTCTATTTAGCTCCTCTACCCATTTTTTAATTTTGTTCTTTGTCTTCCTTTTGTTGAGTTGTATGAGCACTCTATATATTTTGGAAATTAACCCCTTATCTGATGTATCATTGGCAATTATGCTCTCCCATATAATGGGTTCCCTTTCCATTTTGATGGTTTTTTCTTTGCAAGTTGAGTTTTTAACCCTTGTGAAGCAAGTCTTCCCTTGAAGCCTGATAAACATTTACATTTACTTTTAGACTGAAACATATGCTATTGAAATATCTTATTCCAGAAAGCTTCCCTATTTTAAAATTATTTTGGAGACAAATAGAATTTCTTGAAAGAATAACTGTCTACTTTCTCTGCCTTTCCAGCTTGAGAATTCCCAGCCCTTCCATGGTCCTTGAATTTGCCTTCCTCTTGCCAATTACCTTTTTTTTTTAACCTTTAAGTAGATTTTATTTAACTTTAATGTCATGAAAATAATATGAATCTGATACATACATAATGAGAGTACCAAGGCAACAATTCCTGCTAGAATGAGAAATTTAAAATAACAATAAATACATGTAAAACATTAATATATAAGAAATACTGGGGAAAATAATGATTAATGAATAGAATAGAATAGGAATAAAAACAAAGCAAGTATATTAAATCTGTGGCTAGGAAACTAAAATCTAACTTTAAAAAATAAATCAATAGATAAAATTAGATGAGGATGTTCTCAACTTTTTATTTGAATATAAGGCATAGAACAAACGTAGCAGAGAAAAGAGGAATGGAAATAAATAAGAAAGCATGAATGTTAGAAAATTAGAGATGAAAAATAGGTGCTGGGAGTTAAAACATTGGGAATATAAATTCCTGGTTAGTAAAAATTCTAAAAGTAAAGGAGATGTAAAGTAACACAAAAGATGTTCATAATTTTCTTTTTGAGCTGTACTCTCTGCATATAGAAATATAGAATAATAAATCAGCAGCTTACTCTAAATTTCCATGATTATACTGTATTCATAGTTTCAAATTTGTTTGATTTAGACCTTTAGCCAAGCTTCCTCCGCACGACGTGCAGCTTCAGAAAGGTAGATTCATATGCTCAATGTATTCCTCTCTCTAAATCGAAACCATAGAGTGGCTGCCAAACAAGCAAGAGAGCCTCCTGATTCTCTCCCAACCCAGGCAAAGCACTCCCAGCCCATCAGCATCTCCCATGGAAAATAGCTGCAACCCAAACACTACTGGCTTTGTTGGTGCTACTTAATACAAGGAAACAATTTGGAAAATTGATCTGGGAAAAACAAAATACTTTCTAATTATTCCTCTTAAAAGTGGATGAAATTAGGATCTCTTTTACTCAAGAGAACATGATCTTACCTAATAGACCCCAGCAATATCCTGGGTTTTTATAATCTTTCTAGAATGCTTGTGTATGTATACATATGTATTACTAAATACTTTGAAGACAGACATTCAAATCCTAGTACTTTCCCTTTAATTCTTGACTAGCTCTTTATGAACTTGAGAAAGCTTTATAGATGGAAGAATATTCTGTTCATATGTATAATACAAAATGCAAATTATTGGGTGATAAGGGTATCATTTGACAATAGTGTATGCACAATGTGTTCATCTACCACTTTGTTTTCAGGATGAAATTCTATATTTGGACATGCCACCTTTCTTCTTATTTATATTTAAATTATGTTTATATATTAGATGACAAAATTTAAATCTATATTTGCCATTGAAGGGAAAATGGGGTAAAAAATTTGGAACACATCATCAAGAATATTTTGTTATTAAAGATTTAATTTTTTATTTCTGTATCCATGGGTAATACTTAATAATCTCCTTATTAATTTTATACCTAGAAATCTTATTGTTATCCAAACAATACGTGCTCCTAGTTTTTGTAAGAGTAAAGTGAAAATTAGAATGTACTCAGATTCTTCAATGTCAACTTCGTAAAGATTTTCTAGAAGTGGAAACAATTTACAATAGTATAGTTTTCACATCATTTTGACATTTCACATTTAATTCTCACAACTACCCTTTAAATTAGCACAGGTTCATTATTTCATCCTTAAAAAAAAACAGAGAAACAAGTTAAAATGTGACCTGCTATGCTTAGATATAGAGAATCCAAGAGTTTCAATCTAGTGGTGATGTCTAGACCTCAGCTTCAGTTCAAGTCTATTAACCTCAGGCGGATAGTCACCAACCCAAACCTTTAAAGTGAAGCTGGTAATTCTTTCCTCCTAGCATTTTGATGAGAGTCGAAGGGCACAATCCTTATGAAAGCATTTTTTAAATTGTAAATTGAGTTATAAATAAATTCGATCTATTTTTTTTCTAATATCTATTACATTCGCACCTGTTACTCTTAAGTCTAAAGGAACCATCACAGAAAGACTATTCTAGTTTGCAAACATGCTCTTTAAAGGTTTATTTGGGGCCTAAGAATTGAGGAAGAGTAGAATGCCAGCCCACCCACTCCACTCTTTCCATGCTCACTTCACTTTCTGCTGTGGTCTAACCTGACTTTAAGCTTCTCTTATCCGTGCTTCATGGGCTTCTACTCTGACTCACTGAAGACATCTTCAAAGAAAGACGAGGGGTATGGGGGGGGGGAGGGGAAGGAAGGAAGGGAGGGTTAAAGAGAAGTCAAGCAAACACCCAGAAAAGAAGAGCAGCCCTGGCCGGTTTGGCTCAGTGGTTAGAGTGTCGACCTGTGGTCCAGAGAGACCGGGGTTCAGTTCCCGCTAAGGGCGCGTACCTCAGTTGCAGTTTGTCCCTGGCCCTGGTTGGGTTGTGCAGGTGGCAACCACTTGATGTGTCCCTTTCATGGCAATGTTTCTCTCTCTGTCTCTCCCTCCCACTCTATCTGAACAAAATATGGAAAAATGTCCTCGGTTGAGGATAAAAACAAAACAAAACAAAAAACAGAAAAGAAGAGCATTCTTGCATTAATTTAATTGATAATTTCTTCTGAAAATGAAGATTTTAAAAAATTCTCCATCCTACCCTATGCTTTGTCAAATTTTGCATTTCTCAGATTTCATTTTTCTAAAAGTATCTGGAAATCTAACTGATCTATTTTTAGAGCTTAAGGTTTATTTTTCTATCTACCTCTATTTTACTATTTTTTTTTTAATCTGTGGTCAGACTTATACTTTGTCAAATCTTATGTGTTAAGCATGACCAGGAGATGCTGACACCAGATGACTCATGATCTGAGCTCTCTCTTTCAGCTCCTAAGGTGTTCCAGCGTGTTACTTCAAAGCCAAAAATGTCACCAAGGCCAGAAGTGCTGTATACTCCACCTGGTAAATGTTTTATTTCATATTTGAGCCAAATTCATTCCACTGTCTCACTCTGCTATGATTAAATGTGTGCGCTGATGCATGTGAGGTCAATATTTCACTTATGTTCAGATACCATGTTGTATAACATCATACATGGCATGATCGTTTCAAAGGCTTCATATGAGTTACTCAGTGCTCATACAGTGAGCTATGGATACAATCAAAAGGCAGAGACTTGTCCTGGCCTATGTTCAGTGGTTAGAGCATTGGCCTGCGACCAAATTTTTTGTTCTTTTTAAATGTTTAATATTTACTTTAATTTTATCAACACCTTAGCTTTCACAGCAACTCTATCCTGTAAGTGGAACAGCAGCACACACTTCCCATGGAGCCTCCGCTAGGCTTATTCAACTGACTCCCCAGTTCCAAGCATTCAGTTGGAATTCTGTCTAAATCTGGTGTTGGTCCCACCGAGCTGTATTCATCAGGGTTCTCTGTTGCTCCAGGGGTGTGATGCCTGTAGGAAGAATCATAAGGCAACTGTTTCTATATTTCAAACAAGTGTTCAAACAGCTGGATTCTGTTTTGTTCAAAGTTTCTGGTTTGTATCTGGGCTCAGGTTTGCCTCCTAATGAACTCAAGACCTTGTTTACTGGCTCCTGTACATTTTTCCCCCCAAAACAGAGGTAAATTACACTTATATTTAATATGTACTGTTATCCTAGAAAAATAGATGCTCTGCACAAGTCTAAAAATGTAAATTGTAGTGCTGAAATGAGGAAAGAGTTATGTTTTATCATGATGTTTATCTCAAAACTTAAACTGAGAGATATCAGGGGAACAAACTTGAATTTTTAGACATGTATCAAATAAGTCAGTCTAGGATTTGCTGTACAGCTCTTCCATTCTGTAGGTTCCAGGCATAACACAAGTTTCATCCAATTAGGCCTTTAGAAAATATCTTCCAGCCACTTGGTTGAAATTATCTACAACATTTAATGAAGACTCCAGATGAACAGAGCCCACACACACTGTCCAGAACCAAAACAGAACTAGCCTTCGTTTGGATCTGCCTTGGAGAAATGATTTCTAATTCAGAGCAAAGGACTCGCCCTGATGTCTGGCTCAACAGAGCTGTGCCTTCTTTGTAGATTCGTGTCTACACCAAGGGCTGCTTGGCTCTGTGGTGACACTTCTGGCCCACAAGTGTTTGGATAGGCTTCGGTCACTGGGAGCAAACCAGGAAGAAAATCTAGATTTCCGTAAGCTATCCAGTCTTCATAAATGTTCTGTGTAAACTACTCTCTCTGGTCAATTCTAATTTGCAGTCACACTGCAGCACATTTGCAGTAGGAAATAAGAGAATAGAGCTGAAATTCCTTTGAGATGGAATTGCCAGGGCCTAGACAATGGACGAACGGTGTTTCGGAGAGAAGGATGACTCCATGGGGAAGAATAAAGGCTAGTGTTTGTCTCTGCTGGGTTTGCAGGCCACAAGGACTTTCAGGTGGAAATATCTAACTGGTGATTGAAATGTATTTCAGGGTATCTAAACAGAAGTCAAGATTTGGGATATAGATTTGGGAGCCACCTGTCTAGAAGGTTCTTAAATCTTGTGAGTGGATGACATCATCCAGGAGAAAGTACAGACTGAGAAAAGAAGAGGTCAGAGATCAAAGCCTGGAGCAGCACAGTCACATACAGGAGTGGGTAGAGGAGGAGGAGCCAGCAGATGGGAGAGACGGGGTCAGGAGGTGGGGCGGGGAAGGGTGGTCAGCAATGCCAGTGCGGGTTCCGAAGAGCTGCTGGACTTGACCGTTCAGATCCACAAGCTCGTATCTGAAAACCATGGGTGGATGCTTTGGCATTCAGCAATTTTCAGGTTTTACAAAGGTAAAACAGCACATATTCCATTGATTACAGCATATTAATATGTCTACCTTGAGAAGCATGGAGAGTCATACCACACAAGATGCATAAAAACTGTAAATAGGCCCATTTTAGTTAGGTTTGGCTGTCAAATGAGGTTTTTTGTAAAAAAAAAAAAAAAAAAAAGATACTTTCAGAGCATTTTGGACTTCACAATGATTGGTAAGGAATCACTGGTCCATGGTTGTAGAAGGTTTGTTCAGGGGACGCCAGACCACAGTGGATGAAGAAGATATAATTGAGAGACCAGGAAGCAGAGTCAGAGAGATGGTTTTGATCAAAGGAATAAGAGCAAGAGAGGGAGAGATGGTGTAAAAAAAAGAGCTATGGCAAGGGAATAATTTTTTTTTAAGATACTGGAGCATTTGAGCTGTTTTGTAGGTAGAGGGGAAGAAACATATGGATAAATGGAAATATAGACTAATGAAGAAAAAAGATGATAGAAATAATGGAAAGTGAAAGGCCCCAGAAGAGATGGGAGGGAGGGTGGCCCAAGAGCCCAGGTTAAGCTTGGAAAGTGGCCTCCAAAAGGGCGCAGGACCTGCTTCCTCCTAGACTGGATCAAAGGGCACCAGGTTAGAGAAAGGAACATAGTACTGGAGGGGAAAGGGTATGTAGTCTATACGTATTACTTTGCTAAAGGCTCAGTCTCGTTGCAGGCTGCTGTGGGGATGGACCTTATTGCAGACTTAATATTTCACCATCTTTATCAGGGAATAACATACCGATTATCTCATCTGGCAAAACATCCATGCACATTCATTTTCATTTGTCCATATCAGACATTTCACTCATAATTGTCTTGTTAGTTGAACTTTTATGGTATTGTTATTATTATTAATCCTCATCAGAGGATATGTTTATTGATTTGAGAGAGAGAGAGACAGAAACAGCAATGTGAGAGAGAAACATCAATCAATTCCCTCACAAGCCCAACCCTGGATCAAACCTGACTGTAGGTATGTTCCCTGACCAGGAATCAAACATACAATCTTTTGGTGGGACAATGCTCTAACCAACTTAGCCATCTGGCTAGGACATGTTATTTGAACTTTTTTTTTTTTGGAGTGGTGCCCTTTATTAAAAAAAAAAAAAAAAAAAAAAGTTCATTTCATTGATTGATTCGTTAATAAACATGGTAAATTGGTTAATATAATTGAGTCTAAAATGTAATGTAAATATACTTATAAGGAAATCAAAAGTGACTTCTCAAAAAAATTGTCATTGTTTACATTGTTCCCCCCAGCATGGAAGATTTAGGTTTTAGGAATCATGCTCCTATTTAATTTAATACAGAGGCATGCCACATCAGGAAAAAGAAAAAAGAAAAAAAACATACATTTCTTGGAGCTGCAATTGACCAAGCAAGAGAGTGATTCATAACCCTTTCCTGTGACTATTTCTATTTTTTTTTCCCCCACTGATTTTTAGCTGCTTTAGAACGCCTGCTTTGGCAGTTTATTAAATCATCATTTCATGGTTACAAAGTGCCAATCGCGCAGCAGGAATCCCCATTCCCCCAGCCTAAGTTCCTCAGTCAGCTAGAGCAGGCAGCGAGTAATGTGTTTACAGTATGGTGGATTTATTGTTCCACATTTCTTCTGTTTCTCCCCTCCCTGATCCCAGCTCATCTCTGTATAGTCTAGCACTGTAACCAATTAGGTTATTTATAAACTACTGGCGCTTTGTATGGTCATGACCTTCCCAGAGCCAAATCAAAGTGTCTTCTCCTTCGCCCTCCAGATAAACATTTAGTTTGATTTACAACTGGAAATTCCTCATATTTTACCATTTGAATTCCCAAAATACTTCACAGCAAAGGTGAAACATTCACTGTTGTGATATGTGTTCTCTAATTTTGTCAACCACTGATCTTTTTGAAGTTGCTTTTTTTCTTTAAAAAAAAAATCTAGATTCTCAAGTTGCCCTGGATGTTACCTTTTAGCTCATAGAAGTTCTAATTAAGTCAAGTTTCTTTTCAATGGAACAAATTTCACAACTGTAATTTCACTGGTGCTTAGTGGCCTAGACTAAGAACACATGTGATATGTACCTGAAATATGCCCAAAAGCAATAAAAAGAGAATTTTCATTTTGTAACACCTATTTTTGTACTAATGGTAAAGTGGTGCCTAATAGCCACCTGGTACAAAAGTTTTTCGCATCTTTCTCTTAGGCAGAATCCTAGCCTGAATTCTAGCCTGTGATGTTTCTTCAGCATCACATAAAATGCCAGAAAAGTACACTGCCTACCAAAGGGACTCTGGTGTTTATGAGATCTTCAGAGTGGCAGGAAAACCTTTCCGTGAGAGAGTAGGGCTGAGAAGGACCTCCTTGTGTGGAAACTGAGTCAAAGAAGCACATGATCTTGCTCTTGGAAGAAGACTTTGCCATAAAAATCTGGTGCCACCAGTAGGCAAATCCCCTTGAATTTACCCCAGTGAGAAACGAGATATCAGTTTCTCAGTCAACTGTTTTATTTTTGCCAAAATAGAACTGGACACAGGCATTAAAAACATACTGGATATGAGGGACGGAATAGAAATAGGCTTATTGTTTAGCTGACATTTTTGTTCTTTGTTTTCATATCCTCATATGTCAGGAGGCCCTGCTAAAAGCCACATCAGTGAGAATGACAAAAATGGCAACATGTCTCGAGTATTTACTGTGTAACAGGCACTCCATCAACTTTTCATGTGGTACCCTCTACTGAGGGGCTGATTTCTTTTGCTCTCTTTTCTCCCCGTAATAACTGTTAGTATCGATTAGAATAAAACTTCGTTCTTCTCTTAGATATTCAAGAATTTTGCCATTCTTGCTGTTTCCATCAGTTTGTAAGCCATTTATGACTTTATCTAAACGAGGTGTTTTCTGTTGCTGTCAGTGGAATTTTAGCATAAATGCCAAGTGGCAGCACTTTGGGCACACACTGACTTTCTGTTTTGAAGCTCACTTGAGGGAGACCCACTCCTTGTGTTTATCACTGTAGCAATTTCCTCTCCCCCCAAGGGAGGCTTCAAAATGAACTGTGACCAACTGTTACTCCCACTAGAACCTTCCCGCACAGGAACAGTTTTCCATTTTGAAAAGATGGGTGTCTTCTCGGCTTTGTTCCTTAGCCGCTGGGAGAGGACATTTGCTTCATTCGTGCTTTCCAGGAGGGTGGCCCTGGGCGGTCTCCCTCCAGGCGGTCTCCCTCCAGGCGGGACGTGCAGGGCACTCGGTGTTTTCTGACCTTTTCCTCTCAGTTCCAGGAGACGCGCTCCTTCCCCGTAAGCCAGACCGTGAAGTCTCCCAGAGCGAACCCGGTAAATAGCTGTTTTATTTTCCCAAGTAGGAAGGCTATTTTTCAAAAAATATTCTTGAGGTAAATATTTTTTAATGTGATGTGGAAGAAGTTGGAAGAAAAGTATGAATACAAAATGTGTATTTCTTTTTGAGAAGGGTTAATCATACCGTCTGTTTGAATTTTTTTTTCCCCCTGGTTAACACTAGGGAATAATATGTAATTCGTTTATTTTTCCTGGAAGTGTATTCATTGAATTGGAGATCATGCTAAAATTTTAAGACCGACTTATTAACTGAGCCGACCATTTTCACCTTCTTTCAAACTGTAACTATAACTACATTCCAACTGTGGGTGTACTATTAAGTCAAACATGTAGGAGTCTCCTCAAAACTGTCCTTAAAGTGACAGTGAATGCAAACGTGAATGTTTTCACTAAACTACATTTCCTGGGTAGCATCTAATATAGAGAATTTTCTCATATTTGTTATGGTTCTTAGAGAATGTTAAATGTCAGAGTGGATGCATGCAGAAACACAGAAACTGCTTTTACTTCACCAGGTAGTAATTCTCATGACTATGTTTCTTTGGTTTGCTTTTGGCCTAGTTCTGCAGCCTGTTACCTTTAGAATTGATCTGCCAGAGACAACAATAGGTAATGCTTTTTCCATATTGACCAACTCTAATTGTTTTCTTTGCCACCATCAGGATTACAGGTCTTTCTCAAATGATCATATTGAAACATCATCTCTTCTCAAGCCATTTCATCATTTCATTCTCGTTATTACTCTTTCCAAAACAGAAAAGTAATGCTTTCATTGTGAAAGCTTTGACAACTCATTACCAAGTCCATCCTCACCTACCTCATTTATCTCCATGTTCAAAATGATTCCACCTCACCCATGCCCATCCAGTTAACATTTCCTGCTGGTTTAGTGGTTCTCAGCTCAAGTGTTATGTGTGATACACTAGCAAGTTGTGAACGTTACTGGCAATTAATTATCATTAATATTGGTCAATATCCTCAAATTTGCCATTGGTTTATTTTAAAAAATAAACTTGAGCAGACGAGATGATTGTGGTAAACATAGGGATGATATTCTCACTCATTTTGTGATCCTATGTGCTGTCTGGGTGGGAGAGCTACAGCCGACTCGGGGCTGTGTCTGGCCCATCCCTCATCTTACTAGGTCTGGTCATGAATGTCATTTATTCTAGTAGGAAAAAACGTTGAGAACCATGGCTCCAACATTCCAGTCATTTTCCTGAAGCTTCTGTGCACACTTTACTTTCTTCTCCATGACTTGATATTTTCCTTTGTCTGTTTCAGATGAAGGAATCTCATGTAATATTCTGGTCTGGCACTGGCTTTTGAATCTAGAGATTGAAAACCTTGGTGCTTATCTTTTGCAGCTCCTTTGGAGACCCGAGGCAGCCCTTTCATTCCTATGATTTCACCAAGTCCCCGTCAAGAGGAACTACAAACCACTCTGGGTAAATTTTATTTTGACATTTCAGTTCAATGAGGACCCACCTTTTAGGGATTGCTCTTAAAGAAGCCATATGTGCATTGTGCTCATGGGTTGTTTCCAAGCACTAGAGCATCTCTTTTTACCATTATACAAAATCTCCATTTCACTTGATTCTTTTACATTAATTATATATTTGTCCTAACATTTATGGTGATTTTTGCTATAAAATGAAAATATTTTAAAGCATCTTGACAAATTTCCAAGTATTCTGAAATGTCTCAAAGTGTATCAGTGCTATATTTTTTTATTGCTTTTTCTGTATTTGAAACTGCATTTGGGAGGAAATTGCATCTAGTATTTATCAAGTGTTTTAGGGGTACGAAGCACAATGCTAAGCAATGGATATTTCCAAATAAAACTGTGTTAATGGTGGGCCCTTACCCTGGAGAGCTCGCCATCTACTATGAAGACAAGGTTCAGTGATAGTGGTGCTTCCTGAGGGCCACCCGGTGCGCTACATGACATGTACTTTTTAATTTCAGCCACATAACTTTGTGAGGTAGATTCTATTACTTACTCCATTTTACAGATTAGAACATTGAGGTGTAGAGAGATTTAAAATTTAGGCCAAGTCACTAGCTAATGTCAGTGCCAAATTGGAACCCACACACTCAGTCACCAGAGCTCCTGGGCTTCACCCCAGTGTTACGCTGTACAGAGAGTGTGATAGAAATGAGCAACATGCTAAACAAGCAAACTGCTTGCAGGCAGCAGGGGGCTTCACAGAGGAGGTGACATTTACACTGGGTCTTCAAGTGGGAGTGACAGCTGAAGTTAAAGATGCAAAGGTCCTTTCAGGTTAAAGACCGATGGGAATGAGGCACAGGGCAGACTGGCGGCCTGACAGCTGATGAGCATGCTGGTCGCCTGGAGAAATAAGGATGGATGAGTCAGGACAGTTGTTTGGGATGAGCTGGCCATGCTTTTGGGGAGTTTATTGTGTGGGAAATCCCACTTTGCCTGACCCTTGGCTGAAAGTGAACCAGAAAACAAGTGTTCCCAGCTTGTGACTTTTGGCTCCTTTGCCCGGTCCTTTTACATCCCACATGGCTGTGTTCAAATTAGTGGCCTGTTGTTCTCCCTTCAGCCCTTTTCAAATAAACCCATTTTTTGTGTATGTCTGCTGAAATAAAGTTACGAATTACATTTTTAAATAAAATTCTTTTTGGAGAAAAAAAATTAAAAATTGAATGAGCAAATATACCCTGATTACCAAATTTCATCTATTGTAGCCTAGGCCCACACGGCCAACGCCACTCATCATGGTGAAATCAAAAGTACTTTCTTTTTTTTTTTTTTATCCTCACCCGAGGACATTTTTCCATTTTTTGTTCAGGTAGAGTGGGAGGGAGAGAGAGGAACAGAGAGAGAGAGAAACATCGATGTGAAAGGGACACATCGAGTGGCTGCCACCCGCACGACCGACCAGGGCCGGGGACAAACTGCAACCGAGGTACGTGCCCTTAGCGGGAACCGAACCCGGGTCTCTCAGGACCGCAGGCCGACGCTCTAACCGCTGAGCCGAACCGGCCAGGGCCAAAAGTACTTTCAGGTACTACTGCCAGATAGGCTAATTATCTAAGTTCGACTCCCTATTTTTTTTAGATTAATTTATTTTATTAATGATATCTTTTCTTTCTCTTCCTATTTTTACACTCCCTATTTTTTTGTGCTGTATTTTGGGTTATTGAAGCAAGAACCATCACCTGCCATTATCTCACGTATCTCTCTTGTGAGCTGAATCCAGATTAAGAAGCAAATCAGGAAGAAAAAAAAAGATGACAGTATATTATTTGCACCAAGTATCTCCTTAGATCCAGTATGTGCCAAAGTGAACAGCGTCATTTCTACACCTGCATGATGTGATAATGAATCCGAGATAACATTGAGGGTAGAACTATTGCCACACTTCTTTTTTTTCATTTTGTTAAGGAGAAATGTGTCTGTATGTCAGTAAACATAAACTTTGCTTTTCCCATGAGGAAAATAAAAAAATATTTATTCTTATATGGTGTAAATACACATCTTTTCATCTGATCTATTTCTTTTCCAGCTCATCTAAGTAACTTGTGGGATTTTTTTTTTTTATCCTTACCCAAGGACATTTTTCTACTTTTTATTCAGACACAGTGGGAGAGGGAGAGAGGGAGAGAGAGAGAGAGAGAGAGAGAGAGAGAGAGAGAGAGATCAATGTGAAAGGAACACATGGAGTGGCTGCCACCCACACAACCCAACCAGGGCCAGGGGCAAACTGCAACCGAGGTACATGCTCTTAGTGAGAACCGAACCCATGTCTCTCCAGACCATAGGCCGACGCTCTAACTGCCGAGCCAAACCGGCCAGGGCTGTGGTATTTTTTGAATAGGGAAGACAGGAGGGCAGTTAGGAGGCACATCCAAGTATCACCACCTCCAGCATCATGAAACAGTGATCCTGAGCTCAAAGCTTTTGGAAATCATTAAAATAATTAGTACAAGAAGAGGGAAAATATAATAAATGAGAGTTATTAAAATGTACCATTAACTTTGAATCATTATGATGAGTGGGTATACTTATAAATGCAAGTTACATTTTTCTTATTGCTTGGGGAAGGAAAGAGTGTTGTTGTTTTTTTTATATTGTTCATAATGAACATTTTTAAAGCAAGCCATCTTACTGTGCTTTTCCCCAGCAGAAACAGACCAGTCCACCCAAGAAGTCTTCACAACTAAGATTCCACGAACAACTGAATTGGCAAAGACAACTCAGGGTAATAATATTTCCCCTCCTCTAGAAAGTAACTTTCCTTTCTTCATTTTAAATTAGAAAATAAAATTTCTTTAGAGAAAGTTATTTCTCATCACAGTGAATTACTTGATTGTTTTTCATTTCAGAGGTGCAGGACGTCAGCCACATACGACCATCTATATGACTATCAGTTGAATGTAGGGAAGACAAGTTTTTTAGTTAGAGCTTTGCTTTTGAATGTATGACCGAACACTCAATGCTGATGATAACTAACAATGAGAGCTCTCTTTTTTATTTCTTGATTGACCTGCATTTGCTTCATTTTGTACATTTGATAAATAAGAATCTGTTACCTTTGCATGCCCAGCCCTCCTCTTTCTCTCCTTTATCTTTCTGTACCTCAGCTCCCCAACGTGATGAACACATTGCTGCTGTGGCCTGAGGAAGGAAACTAGTAAGAAACAATCAGTTTTTAAAGATGACTTAATATTTAAATTTCTAGAGAAGTTTTCTCCAGAATGTCTTTCTTTAATTTCTTCCTTCCTACATTTTGGGAGTCAAGTCACCTGCACAAACCTGTATCTCATCTTCATGCTCTCAGAGGGTTATTTTTTTGTTCTGAGTTTTAACAGCTGTGGATTTCTAGTATTTTCGTGTTTTCTTTCTTTCTGTTTTTTTTCTAAGTGACCCCTTTTGCCCGTCTCTTCTTCTTTCATGTGGAAGGAAGCCCAGAAAGCAAAAGCAACTTTTTTAAGGTGTTGGAAGACAAGTTTATTTTATTCATTGTCAGTTATAATTGGGGGGTGGCTTAGTAGAAGAAATTTGAAATAATAAGAGAAAATGATAGCTGTATATTTATAGTAAGTAGAGCAGTATGTACTTATTAAATAAATGTTTCTGTGAGCACTATGATATAGGACAGTTCTCGTCAATTTTCTAAATCTTTTTTTTATTTGTTTGGTTTAATTTGTATTATGTTTTAGATATTGATTTTATTATTTACGTTATCACCTTTCTCTTTATTAGCTTTTTATTTATTTATAAATCCACACAGAAACCTAATACACTGACAGGCCTCCCATATCCTCATTAACAAAAAATGTGTCAAATGTTTCATCCATACTCCACCCTCATTTTTACATGTTTCTATTTTTATGCTTTTGCAAACCTCTTTAATGTCTGGCTTAAATAAGATAGCTGGATTCTCATAATCAAACACATTGATTTTTTGCAGCAAAATATATACACTCTTACAATAAGTAGGATAAATAGAGATTACTCAGCTCAAGTTGTGTTGCCAAGTGAGAAAGTTTTCAGCTTTTTAGAACTTTATAGGTTTCAGAATTGAGGATAAAAGATCATAGGGCTATTCTTTCTTTGTTTTTGCATTTTCTTACTTTTGTGGGAATATCAGTATTGTGTTACCATCACCAGTGCATGGGGAATTTTTATCAAATTCCTTCTAGAACATGGTTTTATTAGATAGCAGTTTCACAACTTATTGGATATATATCCAGGATCTGATATCAGATTGTCCGTTAAGACAATTTATATAATACACTGTATGTTCATTATCTTATGTTCCATGGATCCTTACCGTAAGTGAAAACTGCACCACCCTGGGATCCACATTTTTCTAGACTTGTGCCAAGGTCTCCGGACTCACCAGAAATTCATTTTCATAGGGTGACAAAGGACGTCCTAGGAAAGAACCCATCTGAAGGACATCCACAACCTGGTTCAACCCAATAACCCTGCTTGGATGTAGAGGGTCAGCATTGGTAAAGGCAGGCTGTGTGTCACTAGCAGCACCTTTTGGCCCAGTTCTCACAAATGTGTGCCTCAGCTCTATAGAAGAGGAAGCCAATCAACTGTTTTGTTTTTGATGTGATGTGTTATTTTGCTTGTAACATCAAGCATAAGGAGAACAAGACAGCACACAACGATTTGATATAGATGCTGTAGTGGTGAAGTTGTTTCTCTTTATCTTTGCACTCTACCCATGCATTATGATGACCCTCCAGTCCCTCAGCCTTGGGGCCAAGTGCTCGGAAGAAGCTCCAGCACGTCTCCTCCATGGCACCCTTGCTCCACTGTCTACCGAGACAATCCCTAAAGCACTCTGCAGCCCTGAAATGTTCACACTCTTCTGCTTTGCCCTTCTCATCTCAACCCATAGTAGAAATCCACTTGGCCAGGAGCACTTGGGGAATATTTTTATTATTTTACTTCTTTCAGCCCCTGATACTTACCCCACCCAGGGAAAGTTGAATATGCCTTCCCTTTCCCTGTCCTGGGCATGCATCATTCAAGGTGTTTCTCCTACAATTCCTGTTTGTTTGGTTTTTATGTTATCTTTATACAGTATTTTTAATGTTTGTTTTGCATCGATTTTTATAAAACTAGTCAGATATAAAGCCATCTTTTTAAAATTATTTTTTATAATTGGTCACCAAAAATTGTGGAGATGATGTTTACATAGTTACTCTGTCACAAAGTTCCTTTGTCTTTTTTTTTTTTTTTAGCTTTCTCAAAGGTATGTGTTATTTGATGATGAGTAATATGAATAACTGATAGCCTGAACTTAAATTATATCTCAGCTCTTTTATAACAGTTCTTTCTAGATGTAAGCAAAGACTAGAAAAATAAAAAATTCTGATCCTGTGGCTTTGAAATAATAAATACCATGCTGATTATTTTTGTGTTTTGCTCTAAGTCTCTTTTCTGTCTAAAGTTTTAAAATTTACATTTCTTCTAAAATGAGACTAATAAGAACCATGATCATTGTAGTGCTTTAAGTGAGAGCAATATAACACTGAAGAAATTAACATGAAAAGCTGAAATATGTTAAATTGACAGAGAATCCTACCACTCTCAAAGAAAATTAAAGAGAAAACATTGGCTAATCATCATCATGCATTTCAGGGTGTGTGAGAATTCATATTTTATAACATCAGTACCTCTGTTCACTCTAGTTATTATACTTTGAAAGGCCCACACTGAATCTACAGAGAATTTCAGTATGTGTCTGCTGTTTTTGGCCTGGAATATGGCAAATTCTGCTCATCAGTCTTTACGTTGGAGGCTTATAAATGAGCTACATTATAATCTGTTTTGCAGGTGTATTTTTTTAACTTGTTAGGCAAGGCCTTGCTGATTTATGGTTACATAAATACCCACTCAAGATATGAACAAAACCAATGTAAAGATGTAATTTACTTACAAGTTTGCAAAAAAAATTTTCTCTCCAGTCTTAGCTAAAGCATTACCAAGAAGCTGGAGTTAGGAGGCAGTGTGCTGTGTGGAGGGGGCAAAGGAGGGAAGGGAAGAATGGACAAATTCCAGGGTGAATGCATACTTAAAACCTTAGGAAGCAAAAATATTCAGCTGACTTTCTCAAGAATTTGCCTGTTTGCAGTGGTAGCTCAGTTTTTAAGTTATTCAACAAGTCTTCAGTAGGAGTCCTCACTGTACCAGGCCCTGTATTACAGGAGGAGGAAATGACAAGTTGATGTGTTGGTCCCAGAGCATGTCTGAGTTCTGCTCATTGCCCTCCCTCTCTTGATGTTCTGATGTGCAGGACACCACAGGTTATTTTCTCTCATCATAAAGCTGTAATAGATAGCACTAAGTGAGTATGTATTCATTGCAGTGTTCATGAGTTAAGACATTTTGATAGAGATCACGTTTTTACTCCTTTCTTCTTACCTACCTCAAAATATTTTACTTTTTGCCTTGTCTTTTTTGGCAAAATAATGTTTCACAGTAACTACCTAATTGAGTGATGTGGATGGACAGATAGATGAATAGGTGGATGAACAGATGGACACATGGATGATGGATGGATGGATAGATGGATGGTTAGCTGCCATGTTAAGCAACTATCTGGTAAAATAAATGCTCTTGAAAAACATAGATTAATGTTGTCATCTTTAACACATATTAGAAATGATCTAACTCATTCTGACAATGTGCATTTTAATATCCAGTCATGAATATTTTCATTTGCTTTATTTTCCTTTAGAATCAATACTGTAATGTGTAATCAGAGGTTGAGAACATTCTTTCTATGTCCATGCAAACTATACAAGTTGTTGGTCCCTAGGGAGCTTAATCTTGATTTAGTGGACTTTGGAGTGTTGGATATTAAACGCAAAACATTTGTTCTATTTCAGCACCACACAGATTATACACTACTCCTGCGAGGCCCAGAATTCACGGCAAACCACATATCAGACCTGGTAAGTTGTTTCTCTTTCTGATGACCTAAACAATCAGCACATCTGAGAAGATATAAAATATATTAAAACAGCCAGATGCACCAAAGGAGAACTATTGAAAACTTAAATTGAAATAAAGAACATACCAAAATTCTGAAGATATGTGGAGAGAAAGATAATGATGAATCCATGGAACTGACAAGACTTGACTGAGGTTTTTAAGGAGGATCAGATTCAGAGCCCACTATGGAACTTTACCAGTATAAAATTATTTTTAAATAGTATTTGTGAATAATTCACACATGCACACACACACCTCTTCGGTTTTCCATGCAATTATAGGGTAGCATTAGCGTTCTCTGTGACATATTACTTGCTTTCAAATATATTTTAAGAAAAGATAGTATCTTTAGTATAAAAGGCCCTTTTTTCTGTGAGAATATTTTTACTTGATTCTTTCTGATGATTAAAAAAAAAAAAAAAAAAACATGGCCTGGCCAGTTTGGTTTAGTTGTTAGAGCATCGGCCTGAGGACCAAAGGGTCATGGGTTCAATTTGCGGTCAAGGGCACATACCTGGGGTGCATTTTGGAATGTATCTAGTGCTTATAAATGAAGCAAAATATTTCCTATTTAGTAGTATAAATTCCTTTGCCAGTAATTTTTTCAAGCCCAGTGATCACATTAGAGTACTAACTCAGGTCTCTATTTCCAAATGCAAGCCTATGATTTTTATACCAGAATTGTGGTTTCTATATTCTGAATAACACTTTTTGGTAAGCCATCATTTTTTTATTGCCTGGTTAAGTGATTTACAATTCTCTGGGAAGTTTAGTTTTCCTTGGCTGCATATTTTTATAAGAAAATGTCTGAATGATTTCTTTCCCACTTTATTGTTTATTGTAGTTCTGAATAAGACAACTACCAGACCTAGTAGACCCAGACCCAGTGGGGTGCCCAAAGAAAATGGAATGGGAACAGGTATTGATGACAAATTTATTTCCTTTAGATGCTACCAAAACTGTAAAATGTTTTCATTCAATTTTTATACTTTTGTTGAATTCTCTCTTCAATTTCTCTCTCTCTCTCTCTCTCTCTCTCTTTTATTTTTATTTTTTTACCAGTTTTGGAAGTTCTTAGCATAGCAGGAATTAAAAATTGTGATGCATTCCAAAATCAAAGCTTCATGTGTCTCTGAAAATATTAAAGAAGAATTTATTATTTTTCTAAATCCAGCTCACTAAATATTTAGTCTTGATTCTCTAAAAGATCCTGATCAAATATGAATTATTGAATTAAAATCTCAAATTAGCTTTTTTTCTTAATTTCAGAAAACATTCCATACAGAGATTTGGTCTTTGAGACTGAAATCACTTGGTTTCCAAGTTTATAATTTTTAAAAGACCTAAATCTGTTAGAAATTTGGAATTTAATATTTAAATAACAATAGTAATTGACAGTTGATTACCCTTGTTATAGTCATATTAATGTTTTCAAATCATTCAGCTTAATTAAATGGTATTGCCCTAATCTAGTCAGATCTGTGAGAGTAGGCATCATATAGATAATTGGGACAATGATCTGATAAAAGTTTAAACTCTCAACTCACTAAGTGGATAAACAATAGTTTTAATGACTTAATATAAGATTGCGTCATTCCCTTGTAATATTTTTTAAATAATACAAAATTTGTATTTGTTTATGTAAAAAACCATGAAAACAAGTATTTAATGATATATATTTAATCAACCCATGATGGTTTCCTAATGAGAAAGAGATGTGAATAATACCTGAAAGTATTCAGTATAAAAATCATTTAGACTTGTTTTAGAATATTTTTTGTGCTAGGTTATTTCAGTGTCTGAGGTTCTAGGAATTCACTTCCAAATTCTAATCAAGTAATGAGATAACTGGTATAAATTCCTGAGTCATGAAAAGTAAGAAAGAATTCTGGTATCTGTTTGTGCTCAGCTGCTCCTTTTATTTTCCCAACCATGGGATTAGGCAATGCATAATTTCTCAAATCAACTTAAACAATCTGGCTCTTAACAGTGCCAACTTCTTAATATTCAAAGTAATTTCTTCAAGTTTGTTCAAGTAAAAATAGAAGAAAGCATTTATGTCATCAAAGCAAATGAAAGAAAAACTAGCTATGATCAAACTTAAAAGCCTTCAACCTTTAATATGATCAAGCATTGATTCTCACTAGGAAAATGCTAATTGTTCTTCAGAGAGAAAAGAGTCATTATATTTTAGTTTATCAACAATATAAACATTTTTTTTCAAAGCCAATTGTAACACAAACTGACACGTATTACCTTCTTGTGTATGAAGTCAACAATATAATAATAACTCATCTAACTTAGCCGTGGATGATCTCTTCTCAGGGCTTCTTCAATTTAACTAGTGTTGCTGGTAAAAGGGGGCTGGTGGGCACAGGTAGACAAAGCTGAACTCACTCTTTTCCCTATCCTTGCTCCACCTTTGTCCTCAGCAAGACTATGTTGCACCTATTCTGTGTTCTAAATCTGTCTGTTGGGATTTCCCTTCCGGGAAAGACTTGCTGCCCACCTGCAGGGAGTGAAGTCAGCGGACAGCATCCAGCTGTCAGCTCCTTCAGGGTCAAGATCTAGGTGGTACATTTCCATGTCAACCACAATAACATATAACACATAACAACCAAATGACATTTACCTCAGGAATACAAGATCTGCTCAACATTCAAACAAATTAGTGCAATTTGCCACATTAACAGAAAAAAAGGAGAAAAATCCTATGATCATCTTAATAAATACAAAAAAACAACATTAGACAAACTTCAAAATTTATTCATGATGAAAACTCTCAGAAAACTAGGACTGGAAAGAATTTTTCTCACTGATATAGGGCATTGGTAAAAAAAAACCTACAGTTAACATCCTTAATAGTGAAAGTTGGAATATTTTTCTCCTAACATCAAGAATACAAGCAAGCATTTCTATTTTTACCACTTCTGTTGAAAATAGTAGTGGAGTATGTAGCCAATGCAATAGGTCAAGAAAATAAATAAGTAGTATAAAAATTGGGAATTACAGATGACATTATTTAGCATCTTACAAAAGGAAAACTTAACAGCTCTCAGACTATTTGCCTAGGGAATAATGTTTTAAAAAAAATTTGATAAGAAAAAGAATGTTTAAAATATGTTTTCTCTGGCCCTGGTCATTGTGGCTCAGTTTGGTGAGCATTGTCCCATGCACTGAAAGGTTGCTGGTTTGATTCCTGGTCAGGGCACATGCCCAGGTTGTGGATTTGATCTTCCGTTGGGGTGAGTGCTGGAGGTAGCCAATCGATGTTTCTCACAATGTTGTTTGTTTGTTTGTTTTTCTCTCTCCCTCTCTCTTCCTTTCTCTCTAAAATCAATAAAAATATATTTTAAATATATATATATTTTCCAGGTTATAGATTTACATGGGTTTACCTTTCTTTGATTCTGCATAGTTGCGATCTGATTTGTTTACAGAAATACAGGTATTCACAGTAAGGGAATTTTCTTTTCTGACCCAGTCCCACTGTCTCATATACATTCTAGCCTCCAGTGAGTCTTAATGAAACGGCATTTCTGTGTCAACTGATTTCTCATCTAACTTTTACATCTTTCACAGAATACTTATCTTTATTATCCATCTCATACACATTTTCCTATGGTTTTCCTTGCTGAAGTTTTCAGCCCAGATACTTTACAAAAAAAAAAAAGTTAATAAAGAAAGTGTTTAGGATTTATAGGACACATTCTTTATGGCCTTAGGTCTCGTATGGTTGTGCCTTTGGAAGACTAAAGAAGAAAGATTCTAAGACCTCAAAACTATCAACCTTTGATTCTTTAGGCCTCTAAAAATTTTGCAATGTTTCCATAAACCACAGAAATCTTTAAACCGTCTTGAGCCAAGTGTTTTATTTCATAACATTATTACAAATATTTATTCTACTTTATGTGCATTCCATACCTATATGCATAAATATTTCTCCACCTCAAAATTAGAGAGTAGCCTGCAAGAGGTTGAGGGTTTAGGTAGGTCATTTTTACAACATCTCTTTTTTTCACGGTTTCTAGAGCTGTGTCTCAGTTTAACTGATGTGTTCTACATATTATAACCAACTTTGGATCTGTCTTCAGAGATGCAACAAACATGTGCTGCATCAGAGATCACATAAACTATAGCACCACAGGCCACATCCAGGTCACTGTTTACTTCTGTAAATAAAGAGATATTGAAACATAGCTTGCTTTCGCAATACAGTGGCACAGTTGAATAGTTGTGACAGAGACATATGGCCCACAGAGCAGAAAATATTTACTGTCTGACCCTTAACAAAAAGTTTGCCAACACTGTACTAAACAGTTTCTCAACTTTCTCCCTAGAAGAAAGCTGCTGAGTTGTGCAGCTATTATTTTATTCAACCAACATTTATTGAAGGCCCATTATGTGCCAGGCAAAGTGTAATTTGGAAATGATCTTGGCACATGTGGGTTGGCAGGTATGTTAAATACCTAAACCCCAGACTCCCTTTTCTACATCCTAATGAGGTACATTTCACTGCCCCCACATGAAGTTTGCTTGACAACCAAACTCTTGGATGAGGAATGTGTTTGAGCTGTGGCTACACTTCCCAGTCTGCTGGCTTATCACCCTTGACCTTTTAGCTAGGTGCTGAGATTTGGAGATATGGTTAAGGAGAGCAATTATCCAAAAATACTACTCCTTTTTGGTTACAGGAAATAAAGTTTCTGATACATTTGGGAATTAATGCCCAGTTTACGATGTTTCTCTGCAAATTTTTTTTTACCATGGTTAAAAATACCTGAATCATTACTTCATTTTTGACAATAAGTTCCTAAGAGGTGAACTATGTAAATCCAGAAATTTTTGGAGAATTTCCATTTGGCCACAGGGGACCCACGGTGAACCTCAAGTGTTGGTGCTTCCAAAACCAACTCTGCACTTTAGAAAATATGTGAATTAATCCTGCCTGAGGGAAAAGGAATTCAGGTCACAGCCTGGGCCAAAGTGGCTGATTATGTGCCAGTTTCTGAGGATTCTTTCTCTGCAGTATCCCTCTTACTGGATCCCCGTCCCCCCTCCCCCCATTTCCTCTCAGTTCCCTTTGGCCTTCACTTGCTCTCTGATTCAGGGAAACCAAACTTCACTGGTCTGCAGCTCTGTGCTCCCTCTGCTGCCCAGCTGACATGCAGACCACAGTGAGGTGGAGGCAAGGCCAGAACTGGGGCTCAGTCTCCTGTCCCCAGTTCAACGCTCTTTTCCTGAGCCCCATGGCTGCCTTCGCAGGGCTTTAACCAATGTTCTCATCTACCCCCAATTTTATCTGGTTTACAGGCTAGCAAAAGTCCAGTGTATCAGCTGGCACTTTACTGATTTGGATACCTACATTTAAGGATCATTACAGTATGATACTTCTGTCTCTACCTATATAAAAAGTAATAGAAAATGGCTGCTTTCTGCCAATTTCTCCCTTAATTAGAAAAGAAGCCAGGGGAGTTTATATCTATGATCTTACTCATAAAGTAGTCCTGCAAAATTTTGGATTCTCTCCTAGATCTCCAGTTCACCAGTCCGTGGTTGGCGGATCTGGCAGGTGCCCGGTGGGGTCTGCTGTCAGCCTTGTATTGTGTTATTTTGAGTCCCACACAGCAGTGGCATGGCTGAATGACACACACATTCCATCATGGCCATTTAGCCCTCACTCAGTGGTGACACTTTAAACCACCAGAAAACAGAGTATAGGACTCTAGGACTAAAGTCACTTAGAGTCATTATAAGGAATAAGAGAAGGAAGAAAATGACAAGAGAAAGAATACTCTGTACTGTCCCACTTAGGGCTTAAGAGATAGACTAGCAGCTGGGCACATGCGGGTCTGAGTCTCACCGCTCCTGGCTGTGTGTCCTTGGGGCAGGTGCTTCATCTCCTCTTGCCTTGAGTCTCCTCATGTGTGAGACCTGAGGGGTATCTCCCATACAGAAGGTTAGAAGGAGCAAATGAGGTAAAGAACATCTAAGGTGCTTGCACAGTATGAATCAAAATATTTTAAGGGTAGAAAATTTTGGAGAAAGGCTGTGAAGAAGTATACTGAAGGCACACCCAGCCTACTGGCTTTCTACAGTATATAATACTTTTTTTTTTTCCTTTGAACAATAGTGGTCAGTCAAATGTCACCAAGCTAGGTTATCCCAGTGACACAGAAGGAAACATTTTCCATTTCCCTCTGCCGTGCCCAGAGCACCACCCACATGAGTCATCTCCCTGGCCCTATACCACTGACAGCGGGACACAGGAAAAAAACTAATGAGCCCTTTGTTTTCACCAAGCCTGTGGTGTTAGCCACAAAATAGTCATTGACCCCAGAAACACTTTTTTCCTACCACAAATTAGCAACAATTAATTCATGGCTCCATATAGACATTCACCATGATTTTTCTTTTATTCTCACCCGAGGACATTTTTTTGGCATTTATCTTTAGATAGAGTGAGAGGGAGAGAGGGAGGAAGAGAGAAAAACATCGACGTGAAAGAGACACATCGAGTGGCTGCCACCCACACGACCCCAACCAGGGCCGGGGACAAACTGCCGGCGAGGTACATGCCCTTAGCGGGAACCGAACCTGGGACTCTCTGGTCCACAAGCTGATGCTCTAACTGCTGAGCCATACTGGCCAGGGCCACCATGATTGTATATATTATCTTTTATTCAAGCAGCAGAGAGTATGGATTATAATATTGAGGTTCATTAATTAATGTTAATCATTATTATATTGTTAATAATTATAATAAAATTAAAATATTATGCAAATAATTATAACAATGTTAATTTATAATATTAAGATAATTATAATTAATATAATTTCATAAATTAATATGGGGATATTATTTTTTTGGCAAGCAAAGCTTTTGTTGCATATTTAATTTAATAAGGTGGGTTTGGTTGTGTTTTCATTGTTAATGTACTAACTAATATATTAATTGTTCTTATTTTTTAATATGTGAATTATAAAATTCTGAGAGTATGGATTGTTCTTTTATGGTGAACCATTATATCTAACTGTGATATTTACTTTTTATAACTAAAAATATCTGTTTCTATTCTTTCTTAATGAAGACTGTCAGCCACATCAGGGAAGATTATTTTATAATGCAAAAGAACAATAATAATTTTAAAAGAATAAAACCTAGCCTTGGACAGGTGGCTCAGTTGGTTGGAGCATCATCCCATACACCAAAAGTTTGTGGGTTCGCTTCCTGGTCAGGGCACCTACCTAGGTTTCGAGTTTGATCCCCTTGAGGTATATACAGGAGACAGTTGATTGATATTTCTCTCTCACGTCAATGTCTCTCTCTCTCTTTCTTGCTCTCTCTGAAAATCAATAAAAACATATCCTTGGGGGAGGATTTAAAAAAAAGGATGAAACCTAAATTGGTTTTTTCTACCCTTACAAATAGCCACTTGAACTTCAGGCATGAGTATTTAGATGAATGGGTATTTAGATAATAATCACCAGATTACATTTGAGAAATTTAGGAGATCAAATATCATACAAAGTAATTTTCAGATCGGTTGCTTTCAAACAGCAATTTGGAGTTGTAGGCCTGCCCAGGCTTAATTTACAAACCTCAGAGGTTCAGGTCCAGTTTGTGGCCTACCCAGTCTGACAGCCAGGTCCTCTCCAGAAATATTTTAAAAGTCAACTCATTAACTATAAACCCAAACACATCAGAATTTTAAGGGTTTTTTAATTTTTATTTTTTATGGGGATAGAGGGGTTGGAGGAAAATTTTTCAAAACCACAAAATGTACCCATGAATGTTGGAAAAGAAAGGCCCAGCGCTGCAAATGAAATCCTCCTGGTGAGACAATGCCACCCAGGAAGGCCGAGCGGGCAAATGGAAAATTAAGATAAAAACCACAATCCACAATCAAACTTTAACTCTGTAGAGAAAATATCACAACCAATGAAGGTAGCCCATGGAATGTTTTCATATGCAGATGGGAGAAGCCAATTAAAACGTCTGGGCACGAAATCACCAGTGTTCCTGCTCTGCAAAGAAAGCATGTTATCACTCACGACTCTACCAAGTTTCTGTGCATAGGAACATTTAGCACATTTTTGCTATGTATTTATTTATTCCTTTTTCTTATCTCTGCTCCTAGGGGTCAAGCAAGCACCAAAGCCATCGGGTGCTGGTAGAAATGTGTCCATGGGCTCTACCCACTTCACAAAGAAACCAGGTAAGGGACAGGATGCTGACTCTGCACGGCCCCAAAGCGTCAGAGCCATGCCAACAGGACAAGGGGATTGCGAGGAAAGCCTTCCAAAATCTTATACGTGGGGAATGAAAAGTGCTCTGTGCACAGATTAAACACTAGTAAGAACCTCTAATGGGTTACCATTCAAATAATTACTTTATCCTGTGTTCCGAGGGGCCACAATGTACAAGTGTTGGTGAGTCACTGTGGGTTCTAGTCTTCCTCATATCCAAGTTTTGCTCTGTGTAATTTATTACAATATACTTTTGCCCAAAATGATTTATGTTTCTAATTTACTACTGCTCTATATTTTAGGCCAAATTTATGTAGCTGGTGACTTGGAATATCTTAGCATTGAATAAGAATTCTATGCTTTCTGAAAGGACACTGTGACATCTACTCGGGTGTATTAATGTCTGGGCTACAGACCTGTATTCTAGCAGCACCACTCGCTCCCCCACATTCATACGCGCGCACACACACACACACACACACACATGCACATGTGTGCACACTTTCTGGTCTCCGAAGAAGCACTTAAAGCCACAGGGCATTTTCCTTAATTGTCAATTGTACATGAAGATTTTAAAATCAGCATATATTATTGCAAAGATGAGTTTTTAAGCTATACCAGAGATTTCAAAGACAATTTGGGTTAAGATAGACTGCCCCAGGCACCTCTAGCCTTACCAGCCTTTGTGCAAAGTAGACGCCTGGTGCAACTTTTAATCGTGGCCTCTTCCCTCCACTCTTTAGGTAAGCTATTTACAAAAACAGACCCTTCCTCTGGGCTGGCATCTTTGCACCAGGGCTCGTGGTGCTGAACTTTGGCTCCCATTTACACACCTCTGGCCAGGCGCCCTTGTGTACAACCATTCACACCGATCCTGCTCGCAATGGACACAGGCTTATAGACTCTGCCATCAGGGCCCCTTTGTTGTAACTATTTAAGTTCTGAAAGAGTTTGTTTCATTATAATTACATAGTAAGTTTGGGTGGGGTAAATCTCCCACTGAAAGAGAAATTATACACTTTAACAATTTAAAGCTAAAATGGAGTAAAAAGGTTGTCTCAAAATCAAAGGCATTTGGAGAAAATGAAGCCCAAAAATGCTACTGTTGAGACTAAATGGGAAATTAAAGATGTTAAATTCTATAGATCTATACAGCCTTTCAAAGGCAGATATACCTATACATTTTTATCTGTAACTAGAAGATATTTTTATATACTAAGATGCTTCATTTCCCTGGTTATGTTACAATCATCACTTTAGAAGAATATCAGAAATTACTCAGACACTTTTCTATAGAATCTATCTTCTGTCATTTAATTACTACTTAGCAAACGTTATATTTTTTTTTACAACCTGTGATTTTTATAGAGTGAATCCTTATGACAACGTTATCTGTAATATAATCTCTTAGCCACAATTCCAGGCTCTCGCCGCCCACCCTTGCCACCTAGACCTACGCCCCCACGAAGAAAACCTTTACCACCAAATAATGTCACTGGAAAGCCAGGAAGTGCAGGTAGGTCAGCCATATGCATTTCCTTCTCTCTCCATGATTTCAGTTTTACTAGCCAACCACAAACCCTTCTTGATATTCTAGCTCAGACAACAGGCAAGCCCTTGGTGTGTGTGATGCATGCCTGTGTTGGCCCTAAAGAGCAGACATTAGAAATAGCTTTGAGCACTCGTATACTGACTCTGGATGGGTGGGTTGAAAGAAACCATCTTTGAACATCCAAGACAGAAGCTGACTCGGGCCCTTCCAGAAGTGGGGCAAGATGTTAAATGTTGCCAACCCACCAGGGGTAGTAGAAAATGTGATGCCCTGTCATCAGTTTATCATTCTGTCTCCTGAAATGAAATTCCATACATCTCGTTGAAAGCTCCCCTGTCCACCAGCTTTTATGCTGGCCCAGGATTATGGTAGTAGGGAAAGATTGGGGACTAAAATATTAGCAGCTCTAGGCCATGCAACAAGTCAGGGATATATTTTAGAAGTCAAGCTGCCTCTTATCTCTATGCCTCGGCATGTGTTGTCTCCTTCCCATAGAAGGACCCCTCCCAGTCACCTGGGATACTCACACTTCACTCTTTTCTTGAAGAAGTTTTCTAACTCCCCAAAGTAGTCTTAGCATTGCGTCTCCGTTCTACCTGTCCTCGATACACACCTCCGTCAGAGCAAAGATTGAATTGTCACTTCTCTTCTACTAGACTAGGAGTTCCATGGGGACTGGGCACATCTCTGAATTCCCAGGAGCAGAGCTGGTGGCATTTGATAAGCTCCTGGACGGTATTTGATAAGTTATCGCTGACTGCATAAATGAATGAAATTAAGAAATCTGAAAATTGACCTGGTTCAGAGCAAAGCTTTACCTCATTTCTCTTAAGGGCTCGTCCACTGGACTTGCCAGCAAATCACAGCGTCTCCCCACCTTTCTTCCCTCTCTCCACCATCTCTACTTTCTAAATACCTTGTAGCTGGGGTCAGGATGAAAGTTCAAGACAGCCGTGAATGATGGAAGGCTTAAGGGTTTACATGAAAGGGAACAATGTCACTCTTCCCAGGATAAGAGGAGGGTATGGTGATGGAGAAGCTTTTCTGCACAGTGGAATCTAGATCATTTCCTCATCAGCAGGAGGAGGACTCAGATGCTCACGCATGTTTCCAGTACCCTCCTGTCAAGACCTGGGGACATGGCTCCATTGGGGACATCTGGTTTTCCTCAGTTGTAACCTGGGGTAAAACTGGATGCGTCACAGGCTGAAAGTGATGCCTGAGTGTCCCCCACAGAAAACGTGGGAGCCCACGACGTGGTTCCTGCCATGGAAAGTCCTTGTTCTCTCCCACCAATATGTGCGGCTGTGGTGCTGCCCGTCCCACCTGAAGAACCACAAGCACAGTCCACTTCTGAGATGAACTCCCGCCCCCACCCACCCCTCTTGGTGGACACTTCTCATGCAAAGGAAACGGGTACACGGAGGAGCCAAACACAGAAGGGCAGTGGTGCAAGTTCGGCCTGACGGCAGAAAGTGCATCCTGAATTCAGGAATTAACAAAATGTTCTGGGTGTCCTCTGAACACGTTCTCTCTCACATGTGCCCCGAGCCATCTGCGGCTACAGTGTGGCGTCCTCCACTCCCGTCTCCAGACCTACTAAGGCCTCTGCTCCCCTTGCCAGAGTAAAAGTGCTACGCCAACATTTCCTGCTGGCTCTGCCAAACCTAAAAAGCTCCTGCAGGCTGCAGAGTGACTTCTCTTGGTTTTTGCTTACCCTCTCACCATGGCCCAGTCCCACCAGGACCAGGGGCGTGAGTCTGCACCAGCTGCCCATCCAGTGACTGATCCATGGTTTCATGCTGGGCCATGGTGTTTGGGTCAGTGCTGTGGCCCTTGACTCTTTATTGTCTGAAAATTATTCCTTTTCCCAGGAGGACTGGACGATTCAATCTAGCCGCCACTTTTCTCTAAACTCCCAGACTGGCCCAGACCTGGGGATGGATTGGTCTGGGAGACCCATTCGTGTTTTTAGTGAAAGAGACACTTGACTATAGTATCTCAGGGCAGCACTCTGGTGGCTGCTAGGCCAGAATCACAGGTGTTACCTTAGAAATGGTTTTCTTCTTCTTCAGCCATCTCCCATACCTACCAGTTAATCTCCAAGTCAGGCCATTCCATCTCCTTGACATCCCTCGTGTCTAATCCCTTCCGCCCGGGGAGCTCCTGCTGTGGCTCACCGCCCCTGCCCGCACCTGCTTTAGTCCCCTCTCCTCTCTCTGTGCCACCAGCCTTGCATCCTGACCATCCAGCCTCTTCTCATCCAAACTGGTTGCTTCCCTGTTGGAAACCTTTCAGTGGCTCCTGCTGCCTAAAAGTAAATCCCTGGTGGGCCCAGCCGCTGTGCTCTGCCCTTCCCTGCCCTCCACTCTCAGCTCTCACACCAGCAGCACTGGTGGCTCCCGCCCCCTCAAACTAAAAATACCAAGTAGTTACATGATTCCCTGAATTGGTTCTTCTTGCAACCTGGGCTCAGAATGTGGCTCTCATGCCTACCTACTGATCACTTCTCTTTACTGTCCCATCCTCTGTGGAGGCACTTTTACCTCCTCCCCACAAAACCCTTCATCTTTCTCTGTAGATGTTTCTATTTCCTGCCTTGCGCTCTCTGTGACTGTAGCCAGTTCTTTCACAGTATCTATAATGATTCAGTATATTTGGCTCACACATGTCTCTCGATCAAGGATACCAGGTCTTTTCTCTCCAAGCCTGGCACACAGTGCCAAGCTACATGGTAAGTGCTTAATAAATATTTAGTGAATAAATAAATGGGGAACTTGGCAGTGCTCCTATAAGGACTGACTTTTTTGGCTCTCCATTTCAGGAATCATTTCATCAGGCCTAGGAACTTCCCTGCCCTTGTGGGCAACACTCAGGCCTACAGGAGCCCCCGCAGAGAGAACAGAGACAGACAAAAAGCAACCAACAGCTCCTGCCTCCGGGGAAGACCTCGGTTAGTTTGTCCATCACTTCCCACTGCATGCTTGGCTACAAAGTACTAAAAGATTTCAAATTAGGGGGGAAAGAGTCTCAGCTCTGGATCATCTGTTTCACTCAATTTTATGATTAACGAGTATTTTTAATTGTACAATAATACTTGTTTTTAATGCTTTGGTATAGAATATGCTCCTTCTCTTCACAGACATAGAGAAAAGTGCCTATGTTTTCTAGGAAGGTCTTCCTGAAAAGATCTAGACTACCCAATGCTTCTTACTAAATTATATGTCATTACTAATTATATATACCTCACTTTATTAATAAGCATAAGCTACTTGGTTGTAATCTTTAAAGCATTATTTGTTACACTGCAGAACACCTACAGCAGGACGCAGTTAGAGATCTTTTATTGCAGGTAATGTAAATAATAATACAAATGAAAATCAAAGTTGGGAGCAATTGACTAGGAGGCATGTTTACATTTATAGTCTTTACTACTTTTATTGTATTGTGAAGCTTTATCTTTTGTCAGAATTGTTTATTATATTCCATTCTCAGGTGATGTAACTGACTTTAGCTCAAGTCCAACAAGGGAAACTGATCCTCTTGGGAAGCCCAGATTCAAAGGTAGGTATGATTGGCTTCAAACCTCAGTTTTGACAAGGCTATCTTTGGTGAGTGTATCAGTCAGCTGTTGCTGTGTAATGAACCACAAAATCTTAGTGGCATACCATAATAAGGATTTATTTCTCATGTGTGTACAAGTCACCTTCATGATATTAACAAGTGGAGATCAGCTGATCTAGGACGTTCGTGGCTGGGTGGTTCTGCTGGGTCTCTCATGGGTTGGGGACAGGTCTGCTCCTCATCTGTTCATTCTGGTGCCTAGGATGATAGACCAACAGCGACCCAGGAGAAGCCATTCTCAGGACTGTACAAAGCAAAGAGAGGGGGAATCCAAACACACAACCACATTGTAAGCTCCTTTTTGTGCCACACTTGCCAATATCCATTGGCCAAAGAAAGTCACATAGCAAAGCTCAAGTCAACAATTGCTGAAATATGCCCCTTTCATGGATATAGAGAATATTTTTGAATAGTAATCTAATCTAACACAGTAGGAGTGATGTAGTATGATACAGAGCCCAGTATTTCCTTTTGTGATATTTTGTTCTGAAGTATAAAACTTGATAAATTTTAACATATGTATACACCCATGAAGCCAGCATCAAGATCAAGATGATGAGCACAGTCACCACCAAAATTTATGATCCTTTGTCTCACTCTTCCCACCCAACCTCTAGTCCTGGGTAACCCAGCTCTGCTGTATTGTAGATTGGCATGCATTTTGTGGAATTTTATATAAATGTATAAACTCATTTTTGGGGGTCTGGTGTCTTTCACTCAGCACAATTATTTGGAGACTTACCCATGCTTCTGTGTGTATTCGTAATCTATTTCTTTTTATTACTGACTAGCATTCTGTTGTATAGATATATAATAGTTTATTTATGAAACCTGTTCATGACATGTGGGTTGTCTCTAATATATTTTTCACATTACCAGTAAAGCTGCTATGATGATTCATGTACAGGTTTGTGTGGACACGTTTTCCTTCCTTTGGAGAAATGCCTATAAAGGGAATGCATAGGTTATATGTAAGTGTATATTTAACCTTTTAAGAAACTGCCAAACAACCATAGTAGTTATACTGTTTTACCTATCTATCAATAATATATGAAAGTCCCAGTTTCTCCAGCTCTTTGCCAACATTTGGTGTGGTCGGTCTTTTTAATTTCAACCATTTCAGTAGGTGTGTAGTAGTGTCTGATTGTGATTTTACTTTGCATACCCCTAATGACTAAAAATGACGAACATCTTTTCATGTCCTTATCTGCCATCTGCAAATCTTTTTTGGTGTGTCTATTCAAAACTTCTTTCCATTTTTTCTTATGGAGTTGCTTATTTTATTATTGTTGAGTTTTGAGAGTTATATTTTCTGGGTAGAAGATCTTTGTCAGATACCTGCTTTACAATGTTCTCTCCCAGGGTGTGGCTTCTCTTTTGAATTTTAATGAAGCATGGCTTATCAGTTTGGTTTTCTATAGACTGTATTTTTGGTGGTGTATTTGAGAAATCATGAACTAATCAGAGGTCATCAACACCTCCTCTCTTTACTTCTAGAAGCTTTCTACTTTTACATTTAGGTCTAGGATCCATATTGAATCAAATATATGTGACACAAGGAATGAATACAAGCTAATTTTCTTGCTTATGGATATCTCATTTTTCCAGCATCATTTGTTGAAAAAAAAAAAAAAAAACAACTATTCTTTCTCCACTGATTGTAGTTTTGTCAAAAATCAATTGTCCCTGTGTATATATGGAACTGTTTTGGGGTTCTCTGCTCTGTTCCATTGATCTGCTTACCTTTACATCAATACCAAAGTATCAGGATTCCTATGAGTTTACAATAAGTGCTGCAATCAGGTTGTGTTAGTTCTCTAATGTTGTTATTTTTCAAAGTTGTGTTGGTTATTCTGGGTCTTTTGGATTTCTATCTGAATTTTAGAAACAGCTTATCAGTGTCTTAAAGAAAAAGTAGCCTGCTTAGATTTCTGTTAGAATTGGGGAAAATTGACAGCTATACAATATTAAGCCTTCCTGCCTATGAACATGGTATACTTCACCATTTATTCAGGGCTTCCTCAATTTCTCTCATCAATGTTTTGTAATTTTCAGTGTATAGAAAATCAGTGAAGTATTTGTAATTTCCAATATATAGAAACACAATTGATTTTTGTACAGTGGTCTATGGCCCTTGTATTTTTACATACAGGATCATGTTATCAGAGGCAAGTTTTACTTCTTCCTTTCCAGCTTGGGTGACTGCTCTCTTGCCTTATTGTACTGGCTAGAGCCTCAGTAAAATATTGAATAGAAATAGTGAGAATGGGCGTCTTTTTCTTGTTCCTGATCTTATGAAAAAAGTATTCGGTCTTTCACCATTAGGTATTATGCTACCTGTAGGTTTTTCATAGATGCCTTTTACTGGTTTTTTGTTTTTTGTTTTTTGTTTTTTTAATCCTCACTTGAGGATATTTTTCCAAAGATTTTTAGAGAGAGTAAAAGAGAGGCAGGGGAGGGGAGAGAGAGATACACACCATAACTAGGGCCAGGGATGGAACCTGCAACCTAGGTATGTGCCCTTGGCTGGGACTCTTTGGTACACAGGCCAATGCTCCAACCACTCAGCCACACCAGCCAGACCAACTGGATATGTTTTTTATTCCTAAATATTTTTAAATTTTGTTCTGGGTAAAGTTAAATTACTTGAAACCACTTGATCCTTTTGAGTCTAGTTTTAATATGTACTAGGTGGAATCAGAACCATGTCTGAGGCAAGGCCCTCTTTGAGTGCTCTTTCCCATGCCCTATGAATTGTGGGGTTTAAACCATGCTCAGGGGAAACAAATTATTTTTGGATATTGGCATACACTAAACTATTTAGAAAAGTCAATTAACAGCATCCATATCATGTATCCTAGAGACAGGATTTTCACATGTCTGAACCATCCACATCACTGCTTCCATCCATGTCTGCTTGTACTGTGAGACCAAATGTCCTTAAATAATTATATTTATTAGTTCAGCTCTCCTGCCTTTACTCAAAAAAATGCTAAATGTCATAGTCCTCTCTCTCTAGGTCCTCATGTGCGATACATTCCAAAGCCTGACAACAGGCCCTGCTCCATCACTGACTCTGTCAAACGGTTCCCCAAAGAGGAGGCCGCAGAGGGGAATGCCACCAGCCCACCGCAGAACCCACCCTCCAACCTCACCGTGGTTACCGTGGAAGGATGCCCTTCATTTGTCATCTTGGACTGGGAAAAACCTCTAAATGACACTGTCACTGGTAAGATCATAGCATGAGGACTGTTACTGCGGTGGGAAGCTTTGATAATATGCTCCACCGGGACTGCAGAACCTTGAGTCAAACTAGAACCTGTGGGTCACATCTCTGAGTAGCGAGTCCTACAGTTCTGCTGTCGCTGTGGCACATTATCGTCAACAGTGCCATGTGATGGGGAAAACAGTCTTTGTCCTGGTTACGGGCTTCCTGGTAATTGAGCAGTTCTCATTAAATTGCATCTGTTCATCTCCCCTTAGAACTCTTTCACAATGAGAAGATATACCTAGCTTTTTTTTTTTTTATCCTCACCCGAGGATATTTTTCCATTTTTTGTACAGATAGAGTGGGAGGGAGAGAGAGGAAGGGAGAGAGAGAGAGAAACATCGACGTGAAGGGACACATCGAGTGGCTGCCACCCACACGACCAACCAGGGCCGGGGACAAACTGCAACCGAAGTACGTGCCCTTAGCAGGAACCGAACCCGGGTCTCTCCGGACCGCAGGCCAACGCTCTAACCGCTGAGCCAAACCGGCCAGGGCCCTAGCTTTTTTATTACCAAGAAAATTACAGATGATATGTGAGAACTTGCCACTGCTGATGATATTTAAATCAGTTTTCCTTTCACCAACCTAATTTCTAGATTTACCTAGAACTTTTGAGCAGGCTAAATGTCATTTCAACCATTCTAGGGAACATGTTTTAAAAACTCTAATCCTACTCAATTTTCTGCTCATCTTCTGAAATTTTGATTCTGCTATCTACCCACCTACTTCCTCTAAAAATTACTGTGAAAATAAGAAATCCTGAGTCATTCTTTGAACTTATTATATGGGAATTTAATTCTCCATAGTGAACAGGATCATCAAACTAGAGAGGAAGGGAAAAGATTAATAACCTAAATCAGCTTGAGGGCATAGCCTGAGTACGCAAGGTCCCTGCTGCCCACATCCATGCCTGTGCCTGGGGTGGATGGACAGGCTTCCAATGAGCCCACTAAGAAGCTGTCAGGAGTAGAGGGGGGAGGGAGTGCAAATTTCAGAATCTGCCAAAAAACTCTTCTATGAATAAAGAAGAAAACAGCAGTTGTTTTTCCTCAGACAAAACCATCTAGGCAACTTCCAGTGTAAGCAACTCATCTTTACTTAGCTGACTTTCTTTAAAACCATAGTTTGTGAATTGTTTTTTTCATGCAAAGCTTACCTTTGTATTGAGAATGAGCCACCACTGCCCGTGGTTCCTGGGGACTTGCCTAGCCCTGCTTCTTTACTTGTGACTCTGGCCATAGGTGCTAAGTCAATATATAAAAAAATTAATATCTAAAACTCTAAATCAACATCTAAAAATCAATCAATCTCTAAGTATTGATTATCTACATATATTAAAAGTTCAAAACTCTCAACCCATATACTGTGCTGATACAGGCTTCCTGTGATAATCTGAGCCTTAGTTCTCACAAAACCAAATGATCTGTAAAATTTCATTTGCCTTAAAGACGTGGGACTTCAAGTTGAAATTGGTTAATCTAAAAGATCTAATCTAATACAGCGATTTTCAACTGGTGTGCTGCAAGAATTTTTGAAACATGAATATCTGATTAATTTAGTCAGGGACACTGACCTCTTTTCCCTTAGTTTGTCAAATAAAAAAATGACAACAGCCAACACAGTAATAGCCATCTGGTGTGAATGCCCTATCTTGAACCATACATATAATATAATAGAGTTACATCTTATTGGTCACATCACATAATAAGGATAGGTAATTACTATTATTTTTTTGTAAACCAATAAAAATTATACCTATTTTTTTGTCAGATTGGCAAAATATATATATGTTTGGTGTGCTGCAGAATGTTAGTAATTAGTTTATGTGAGCCATGAGATGAAAAAGGTCGCAAATCACTGATTTAATACATCTAATACATATTCACTTGTGTATGTCAATTATATCTGATTTAATTTGTTTTAAGCAGAATGATTTTCCTTTCTGGTTCATTATGTAACACTTTAAAAATTATATAAACTTGTAATCTCAAAGTATTCTAACCAATTATTTTGGAACATTGTTACCAAATGTTAATGGGCTGCTTGAGATCTTTCCCAAATAATGGACTTATAATAACAGTTTTCATGGATGAGGGCCACATCTCATTAGCTGTAATATTTTCTACATAGAAATAAGTCCATATTTAACCATTATTCATCTAGCCTGTATTTAAATGTTGGATGATATACCCTAATGGCTTGTTCTATTTTTCCATTTCTGTTCATTTTTAAATTGTTAAATACCACTTGATTTCAAATCTTTTATAAACCAGAAGCTCAGGTAATATGGGAATTAATTTTAACCTTTTATAAACCAGAAGCTCAGGTAATATGGGAATTAATTCTCATATCACTGAAAATGATATGAAAGGAAAGGACCGAGAAAGATAACAGAAAGAGAGTGAAACATATTCTTTATTTCATGAATTGGCTTCTGTGAATAATCTTTCTTTTCATTGACAGGCACATATTCACCTCTAGGAAATACATTCAAATTCAGTTTCTTCTACATGTTCCGTCTACACTAATGTTGAAATAGGTGACCTAAGAAATCAGCTGTAGCCTGCTTGGGTCTTTGGCAACTTAAAGTTAAATTGGTTGTACGGTGTTGCTTTGTGATATGCCGAGTGTGCTGACATAGGTTTAAATCCCAGACTGGCTGTGTTCTAAATATGGAACTTGGGTATATAATTAGCCTCTTTGAACTTTGTTTTCCTCATTTGTAATGATATCCATTGTTATCAATTTATCCTGATGATAAAATTAAAGAGAATGAATGTGCAGCTGTTAATGTTTGTCAGTAGTCGAAGAAGTAGGAGAGGTAGAAATAGTATCGCCATTGCTATTGTCATGCTCTATTGACCAGAGTGATGTTCCCAAACTTTAAAATAAGTAATTTTTCTATTAAGTGAATTATCTCATAACAGGGCAATAAAACCCTCTGAAGCGGGGTGACCAAGTATCCAGTGTTAGGTCTTTATAGATTTCCTTTTATCTTTACTGTTCACAAAATTATAAACAAAATTCTATATTTGAAAAAAAGAAATATGGACACAAACTTAAGAGGCTGTCTTTAACTTCTGAAATATACTCAGAATGTGTCTACAGATATTCATTCCAAAATAATGGTAGTGGATTTATTAAAAAGCTATTGTTGCTTTAAAACACTAAAGCAATAATATTTACAAAGCCCCAAAACTATACATTCAAATACCTATTTAATTATGAAGGTAACTTCTAGATTTATTTTGAAAACCACAATCTTTTAGGACTAAAATAGTATTAAATCATCCTTTAGAATTTGAGTCAGAAGAAAATTAGAGAAGATGCACAATAAGAATTTCAGGTATTGAAGGGCTAGAGTAATATTTGAAAGAACATCACACAGTTGATGAGGAATGTTCAAGTCAAAGATGGTCTTTGAGGGTAGTAGCTTTAATGCATAACCAAATGGAGTGTCATATAGATTGTTCTTTCAGAAACTAAGCAATACTTCAATCTTTTCTACTGGAATATTTCAAATTTTTTTACCCTGTTTTCAAAACACGAATAAGGGATAATAAAAGCAGCGCTAATAATAGGTACCACTTGTTGAGCAAATAACCACTGGCCATCTGTTCCTACTTTAAACCCCACAAACAACACTATGAAGAGACAGTACTGACATTTTACAGATGGGAAAACTGATCAAGGCAAGTGCTTTGGTCTGTCTCTTTCTATCAAGTCAAACAGTTTCCATCTTTACAAAATCAATTTTGATGGCAGCAGGCAGGACTGGAAAGAGGGTGAGTGTGTGAGAGAGTGAGCTAGTGTGTGAGAGAGTGTGAGTGGACGTGAAGGTGGACAACCAAACCTGAGCAGTGCAGAGCCATGGAGAAGAAGGTTCCTGTGCTGTGGACGGAGCAGCCGGCTACTGCGGTAAGCGGCCCTTCAGGGTGCTTCTCGCTGCACCGTGCGGAGGTCCCACCATTTTGGAAGATCCTTAGTCTTCCCTGGAAAGAGGCAGTGGGAGTGGCTAGGGCCCAGCAACCTGAGCCCACCAGTGCACCTGGCACCGTCGGACCATTGGACACTCTGTGTCAACACAGACTAGTGCACGGTAGCGGAGCTCCCAAGTTGCTGGTCTCAGAAGCTGCAGACAGCCTGGAGCCCAGCACCATCCCCCATAGTAGCAACCTGATCAGAGTCCAGATATACCCCCAGCAACAAAGGCTGGGGAGCAGACATCCATCCCCAGGCAACAGAAGCACAGACCAGCAGCTGAGACCCATCCCCAAAAAACTACAGCAAAAGCTGAGCAGGAGTTGAGTCCCACTGGGCAGCAGCACTCCCCAGCCTCCAGCTGTGGGACCTGGGGCTCCACAGAGGCCTGTGCTGTTCAGGAGCTCACAAGTGCAGTGGGAAGCAAGAGCCTGAGAGGGACTGGTGCGATCCAGCTGCCTGCCCCCAGGAACTGCAGAGTGCAGGGGCACCAGAGAGGCCTGTGCCACCCAGCAGGGACTGTGCAATCTAGTTACCTGCAGGACCTGCAGGATACCGAAGCACCAGAGAGGATGGTGCACCCCAGCAGGGACTGTGCCATCCAATTACACACAGGACCTGCAGGTGCTTCAGCACCAGAAAGGCCTGTGAAACCCAGCAGCCCATAACATAGGCATAGAGCCCGGTCCCCAAAGGGGCTATATGATCCAGTTACCCGCGGGACCTGCAGAGTATGGGGGCACCAGAAAGGCCTGTGCGACGCAGCTGCACAAAAGACAGACTTAGAGGATGTGAAAATGTAGGCGGAGTGAATAGAAGCTACTCAGACGATCTCCCAGGACCAAACGGGATTTACAACTAAAATAAAGACAAATCCTCAGAAAAAAGGCAACAAAAAACAGCAGGACCAGACCATATAACCAGTGACACTGAACACCAGGGCTACATTCCAAGGCACTGAATAACTGAGACTACTA